TTTTTTATATTGGTAATTTCTATAAAAGTGCTGTTTGAGCTGATAGTCTCACCATGTTCTCCCCTTTTTCACTCCCAATGTTCCACTCTGATCAAGAAGCACCTTTTATGGGAATGTTTCCCTAAAAAAGCATATTTATTATGGAATGCAATCAGCAAATATGACTTCAAATGTAAAGGCTGCAACAACAGAGCTTTTACAGTACAATTCCAACGATTTCGCAGATTTGAACGCAATGTACGAGTCCCTTATGTAATTTAAATTGCTGGCTCCACTTGTAATCCACTAACAATGGCACAGATCATCTCATTCATGTTCTCACCGTGGGTCAGATAAACACAGATGAGATTATATAACTTTGGTACAAAATGTTTCTCTTTCTCAGGCTGGAGCACGTCCCTCTGGCCTTGCATTTTTGTCCAAGTTTGTGACAGCCCATTTTGGATCAGAGGGCACTTACAATCAGTGTTGGGTATTTAAAACTGATGCGTAATTATAATGTATTATTATCTTCCAACTAACAAAATAACATGCTTTTTGTCCTTTGAAATGGTTTTAGGCTAGGGTTTCTATGTTGGAGAAGACTTTTATATTCATTCATATTACACAAATCAAATAGTGGAATGGCCCAGCTTTACATTAGTGCTATCTCAAAAGTAACCAAAAGTTTGCAAGACGTAAGAAATGATGCCACGCACCATACGGCATCGTGTTTAAACAGTAGAGGGACGGACACAGCAGAAGAAATCTAAAAGTCTGTATTACACCTTTAGCAAGAATGAAGAAACACAGAGGGGCCGTTAGCACAGTGTGTTGAATAAACTCTGATGACCTTTTCCGTTGGGGACAGAATGAGCTCAGGATCCAGTTACTACGACAACACAACATTGTAATTCCACGTTGCCCTTTTCAATTGTTTTATACTGGGTTGAAATTGCCAAAAGAATGATACATAAGCTGTTATCTTTATTTCTTTTTTCTTAGTTTTGACATTTGCATTGATGCACTGTAAAGGGGAACTCACCAGCCATTATATTTATCTTTTTTATTTTTTACTAAGACATGTTGATGAACAAACATGAGACGCATGAATGTAAACAGGATTGTAGTCCCAGAGGGTTGTACTCATAAGAGACTATACACATTTGAAATTACACATTATTATCATAGTCTCTTTATTTATTAATCGTTTAGATCAAATTTGAGATTTTAATTGTTCAAAGTGTGCTTCAAAATCTATTAAACAAAATGATTTACCGGTAAGGGTCAAAATTGCACAAAATAACAAGAGACATGATACAGTAAGGCAGACAGAAAAGCTGACACAATTCAGCTTGTGTCCCTCAAACACACAAAACAAAACACGCACACACACAAATTGACTGTTGTGAATACATAGTGTATTATAATTTACCGCAATTAGGGCTAGTATTTATATAAATTAATATCCTTGGAAATATCAGTATTTTGAATGTGCATTTCTGCCTATGAGGTACGACCATACAGCTATAATTTACATCTGCTTTAATGCTTGTATCTCTTCTTTTTACCATATTTTGAAGGTGAGTGCTCGCTGCTGACGTAATTATAAGTTAAAACATGTTATAAGCCTTGGAAAATCATCAATAATATAACACTTATATTACTACTACTGTATCAAGAGTGCTATATTGCAGGCAGACACTGGCATTAACTGGCCTATTCATTTAATCTATCATGGCCTATTTAATCTGTATCATCCAGGTCCAGGCTCCAGTCCAATGGGAAGGGCCCGCTAACTGACAGCTGTAGCTCTGACCGTTCATTATGTAACCACTGTCTGGCCCCACCTGCAGTTTACACAGACTCGGTGCTCTTCCGATTGGCTGTATTTTTTTGGGTGTCCGCAGCAGTCCCCGATCCCCCCTCCCTCTTTTCTGCCTTTCCCTGTGGGCTTTGGTTGCGTCGAGGCAGACATTCATTAGTTATGTAAGCCGTTTAAGGTTTGCCGTTGTGTAACCGTTTGCTCTGTCTGGTTATAACAGAGGTGTGCACAAATACAGGTTTGGGAAGGTCTATAAAAGAACAGAACAATGAGGGTTTCTATTGGCAGTAACAAGTTCTAACGTTTGTGGTTGCATTGGTTTGTAGCGGAAAGCTGTGAGATTATCTTTGATCCAATTTACTAACAACATTTTACATTGCTAATTTATCTTCAACCTTATAAACAAAATACAAAGTTTGTTAGATTTTTAATGAATATGACTGAAACATATTAGTATACAAATCTGTTCTATAGTTACAAAAGTATATGAATTTACCAAATGTATTTGCCATATCTTATTTTATCATGTATTATTTGAGTATTGCCCCATTATTGGTGTATATCCGTTATGCAAGTAAAGTATGCACATTTTATGGGAGCTGAAAATGCTGAATCAACAAAAACAGCAGAAACAACAATAGCACCCATACAAGTTTCTGTAATTGCATTGATCATCCAACATGCTACATAATACATGCTTATTTTATCCTTCAGTCCATTCCTTTCACTTCGACATTGTATTGTAATGTGCTACAGAGAGAGATCTGCATCTGCATTTTGCATTTCTATAACTTCTGAACTATCATCTTACCTTCTTCCCTCTAATATGTATATCTCCTGGCTGCACTTTTTGCCGCTATGACCATTACTTGGACTTTTGAACTCCTCCTTCCCAGAAACATCGACCAATCACACTTTGAATAAATTTATGTCTTCCCCTTTCCTCCCTCGCTCGCTGTAGCTATGCATTTCAGGAATCGTTATATAACTGTCCCTTTGCTGAAGCCGTGTTTTCTTTTGAATACGGGAACTCATAAACAAGAGTCGTATTTGGACATGACCAAAGCTCGCATTAAAGACACCACTTATCTTCTTTTGCCAACTGCGTAACTGTATTATGGGTTTTTAAGATGAAATTTCAAAAAAGAAAAGACCACGGATAATCTTTTACCAGTAATAGTTCATTCTTTTTCCTGTCTTCTGATTTTGGACACGTTTTGAATGACTTGGAATGGTTTAATGTTTACTGAATTGATTGGAAATGGAGGAAAGTACTTTTGGAAAAAAAATATAGCTACATGTTGAGGTTGCCACACTAAACAACTTGGAAAAGGATTTGGCAAAAATCTAAAGCTTTCATGTTACAATTAGTTATGACTAGAAATGGTAATAGTTAAACTTTTGTTATGTTATCATTGTTTACATCAATAACTATACTTTTCCATGTTTACTTCTGTACACGAGTGACAGTGTAGTTAGGGTGACCCCGCCTCCAGGTGCCATTTCTGTGTGTAGTTTGCATGTTCTCCCTGTGTCTGCAAAGTTTTCCTTCACACCACTAAAACATATGCTACAGATTTGGCATGTCCCTCCTGTATTCCCCTGCTTTTATGTTTGTGTAGTGAGAAGCTCTTTGTTACTCTGTGAAATATTTATCGACCTTTTATTTGTAAATGAAAGGATGACTTGCGTTTTTATTGTCTAGGTTATGGTTGTTAACAAGCAAAATATTGTTCTGTGTCTCTTATCGACCGATGACTGTTGAAAGTGTGAAGATCTAATCTTCTAAACTCAACCATTTTATCATAATTATATCCTTATAATTTTAGACAGCAGTACATTCAATCCTAACCAGCCACCCTTTTTAAATAGCTTTTGTTTTTTATAGTAAACAATATTTTATTTGTCAAACAGTGAAGATTGCCACAATAACTGTTGTAAACAAACTCAGCTTGACTGTGGTGCCTCCCTCTCTGCGCAGAGACGAGCTTGTGTAACATCATGAATACTGCGCTTATGAGCGATGTCAACAAGTGAAACGTGTCCAAGGAAACAGGCGGCACAAAAACAGCTTACATAAAAGGTCATGTCAAAGGAGCAAGACAAAAAAGCAGTTAATGACTCTGATGGGAACAGGCAACAATGTCAATGTGAAACTAAAAATGGAATAGTTTATACAAAAAGTTTCAGGTGAGAAATAAACTTTAGCTTAAACCACTTGAACAATGTGTAAACGCATAATAACTCAAACCAACTAAAAAACACGGAAAAGGACTTCACGGAATTAATGAAAATGAATTAAAGTATCACAGTATTTAAGGGCCCAAATAATAGATAGATAGTTTTGGATAGTTTCATGTACTATTTGGTGTTAAATTGGTACCTGCATTTGAAATCATGATCACAGATTTCAGAAGCTAAGCAGGGCAGGGCCTGGTTGTATTATGATGAGAGACCACTAGGAATATTCAGCTTGACCCAACTCAACTTTATTCATAGAAAATACATTAAAATACTTTAGACCAAAGTGGTGTACACAAATAACACAACATAATGTAAATATACACAGATGAAATAATACATAGGGGAAATAAATAGTCATTTGTTAAAAGCCAAAGAAAGAAGAGACTTAAGTGAATTTGAGGTGTCAAAAGTACTTCTTAAATCTGATGCATTTTTAGTTATTACCGCACATAAAGAATATAAGAGTTGACCTAAACAGGAGGCCAAGGTACAAACAATACTTAATGCCCAATGAAGGATTTGCACTTGTACTAATGGTATTAAATGAACTTCTTATCTCCATGTTCTGGTTATTCGAGGTTACATAACTGTTGTCTAATGAAAGACCTTATCACTGTCCACATAATTATCAAATGAGCGTGCCGAACCACTTCCTTAACAAAGTAATTATATTATATTATATATAGCTGTGTTGTAAGTAGTTGATCAGGTTTTTTCTGGCTTAGGGCCGTACCTAATTATTATACTTGCATTCAATGATAATGAAAATGATTTAGAATTTGTAAATTTATTGCAGAGTTTTTTATTGGTTGGTTATTTTGGCACGTTCATGGGACTTGATGAGCTGAGTCAAACCTATGCCATTACATTTAGGTTGTTTAAATGTGTTTTGGTGTATCTATTAAGTATTTATCTCGTTCTGTTCTAATCTGTACTCCTATTTCTTTTACAGACCAGTCCCACCATAGCGCCCCCTTCAGCTCAGAGAATGAGGCGCAGGGGGGAGATCCCGGGGTATGGCAGTGCACTCCTCCACAGTCGGCGGCTGCATCTCAGCTCCTCCCGTCCAGAGACCACGCCCACAGCCCTGGTGACTCCTCCCACAACCAGAGCTCCTCCTCCACGCTCGCGATCACCAAGAAGAGGAGCTCCAAACCACAACACATGAGACGCAACATCAGGTACCAAAAAGCTGCGCTAATTGCTAAATCTAACCCAAGCTCCATGATTGTTTTGCTAAAGAAATAACCTCATACAATTCAGTAGCGATTGCATAGATTAATACTACTGAGCGGTGGTGCTTTCACAGCAAGAAGGTCCTGGGTTCAGTTCCACCTCCAGGCCTTTCTGTGTGGAGTTTGCTTGTTCTCTCCGTATCTGCCTAGCTTTCTCCTACCACTAAAAATGAGAGGCCGTACAGGAGGCGCATGCCAGTAGGTCTGCTCTATGGAAATTTCCAAATATCACAAAATTTACATAGTAATATTTCTTTTTGATAGTTTGATATTGTTAAATAAAAAATCTATATTGTATCTTAAACTATCAAAATGTTATTATTTTTATTATACCCATAAAACGCCCATTTCGCAAATGCATTGCTTTTTCTAGGCTGCTTTATCTTACATCACTAGAGGCTTCTGGTGCCTCTGGTGATGATCATTCATTTGACTCTTGTGTCTGTTTTTCTCTGCACAGTTCAAAGCCATTCAGTGCGAGGCAGCATATTGTTTTAAGATGAAAAGATTAGTTGGGAATCCCTCGAGAGTTCCTCCTCTGAGCTTATAGTCAGACCACACATTAGCTCTGTTCACCTCCACAGTATTTTGAAGTTTGTTTTTAGTGTACAGCCTGAGAAACGACAACTGATCTCCTTTTCAGAAAGTTGATTCGGGATCACCAGTTGGAGGCAACGACCAAAGCTGCTCAGCACGTGGAGCTCGAGAGACGGAGGCGACTTGAGCATCACAGAAAACAAGACTATCCCGTACCACTGACACACACAACAGGTACTTTTGAGCTAATTCAGATATTCAATGTTATTTACAGTAAATACCCACTTATAAAATTAGTCACAACAATGTTATCCTTAGTGATTGGCTTGAAAGTATTTTAACCATATTTATTTAAATATGTATTTATTTAACCATATTTATTTATGTACTTGTCTTGTGCACACTTGGGACCTTTGCAAGTGTATTCCAATTTGGTTTTACTGAAAATGGCAAATAAAATGAATCTGAATGAACCTGAATCTGATCTAATTGGCTTTTCATTCTACAGCTGATGTAACAAAACATACAAAGCCTTCACCCACGGTAGCAGCCTCTCGACCGGAAGTCCAGGATGTGGCCTGCCTGGACTCGATCAGCTCAGTGGGCACAGAGGCGGACTGCAAACTTGACCGACTACACTCATCGGAGAGAACGCACAAAACTGGTAAGAAACCATATTAGCATTTTACTAGCAGGTCTGCCTGAATATTTTATTCTCTATTCAATAATGGTCAGCGGTTTGTGACGATAAAATCAGATCGAGTTCCCATAGACTCGGGCCTGGCTAGATGTATTAAAAGTGCATGGGTTTGTGTGGATTAGCCGCTCTCGTCCCCGAATATTTATTACTGGAACAAGCTGTACTGACCTCCTCAGTCCACTCTGCACTATCACACACACATACACATAGACACACACACACACACACACAGGCTTTGAAGTATGAAAACACACCCTCTTCATTATACCAATTTATTTATCAATTTGAAACAATAGGATGTTTTAATGCATGGCCAAGACAATGGGTGAGAGCATGAACGATGAAACAACAAGAATTTAAGAACAAATAATGTCAAGGGTAGTACTTCTTTATTTAGTATTACTTTTATTATGTATTTTTTAACATAATTGTTTTAACATAATTGTTTTAACATAGTTGTTTTTTATGTTTACTCCTCAAGGCCTTAATATCTAATTACTTTTCACAATTTCCTTATAATTGGATTTACAAAGAGAGGATAAAATTTTGTTAACTGTTAAAAGTCTAAGTGGTAATTGGAGGTTGACATTATAACTGCTCTCCTTGTGAAAGTGTAGTGTCGGTGGCACAGTGACACAGCTTGTGTAACCCTCCTCTGTACACTTTAATCCACTTGAATAACACATGGCTCTTATATAAGGCCTATCTGTTCACAGTGCGGCCGGCTTGTGTAACCTGCTCCTGCGACTCCCACCAGCGGTCAAAACTGGGCACATATGCAGATTCAAAACCCGTATTTTACAATAGTGTTAAGATAATAATAAAAACATGTATGGACTTTATCAACATATATGAACATTGGACCGGTAGTTCTGTGCTTTTTTTTATCATTGCATGTCCTGTGTTTGAACTGTTAGTTTCTCTGTGTTGGCGAATTCAACGGTTTTGTAAAGTCCTCTGAGATAACTGCTGCTATACAAGAGTAAATTTAAACTGAAAGAGCCATGTGCCAAATTCCATTCACTTTCAATCATATTCATGCATGAGTTCTTGATGTTGGTGAATGGTGAATATCAGCAATTTATATAAGTATGTAACGAGTGCACATTTGTCCATAGTGCATCAACCTAGATTTCAATTTTTTTTTGCTTTTAAGTTGTTATTTTAGCTAAAACTAATGTGGTTTTTTTTGTTAGTATCTATTAGTTTTGATACTTTTCTGAACCTTCAGTCACTACATGTGATCTTGTTTTTTTACATTTTTAAAATATGTATATTCATTACATTGATCTGCTCGACTGAATTGAATTTAACGGTACAAAGAAATAAGAAATTCTCACATTGATCCATCTCAATTTTGTGCAATATTTTGTTCTTATTGAAATGTTATATATACTTGTATAAAGAAATATCAAAAAGTGCAAATATAGAGACAGACATCTGCGGAGGAGAAATATTGATCTTTTCTATCTGCTCCCTGATCAGCAGTTCCAAAGGACATTTCGGCAGTGCCCACTTCCAGAGAGGAGGTAGAGTCTGAGCCCAGCGGATCCCATGTTAACGACGCTCTGAACCGGCCCGACGCTCAGGGAAGAGTCCTGGTCAACACCAACCACCCAGACAGCGACCCAGACATTTACCTTGCACCACAGCTGGCAAAGGCTGTCAAAGCACATCAGGTAGGATTATGCTGCTAATATTACTAAAACTACTTCTACTACTACTATGTGGTGGCATTTGCATATGAAGCCTGATCTCAGAAGCTAAGCAGGAAGGAGCCTGGTTAGTTCTGTGATGGGTTGACCTCTGAGGGAATTTCCGCCATACTTCAGTTTGATTATATTATGTGGTCATTATTTTGCAGATCGGGGGAATCCGCTTCTTGTACGATAACTTGGTGGAGTCGCTGGAGCGTTTCAGCAGCGGTCCTGGGTTCGGCTGCATCCTGGCGCACAGCATGGGTCTGGGAAAAACACTGCAGGTCATCTCCCTCATCGACGTGCTGTTCAGACACACCCGAGCCCACACCGTCCTCGCCATTGTTCCCGTGAGTGCACTAAACGTTACATCTTTTGTTTATTATTGGCTTTTAATAGAAATTGGGGCGAATAAGGGATCTCTTAATCTAGATAGACAGATAGACAGATGGACGGATAAAACATGATTATTTGCAAATTGTTATAGTATAAAAAATGCATTTGATTTGGATTTAATTTATCATTTTTTGAATGACATCAATATCAATAAACACAATATCTACCCTCTCTCTGGGGCCAAAAACCAAATCATTCATATCTTTGCATTACCCTATCTCATTTTCAAAACTATGATCCAAAAGCCAATGTATTTGAGAAAGATGCAAAAAATAATCTGCACATTTACATATTTGCAATGCATACTAATGCCGTGTATCTGTTCTTTTGTGCAGGTGAACACTCTGCAGAACTGGCTGCATGAGTTCAACACATGGGTCCCATCGGCCGAGTCTCTGCCTCCTGGCGTGGACCACAAACACATCACTCCTCGTACTTTCAGGGTCCACATACTCAACGATGAACACAAGTCAGTATATTATGCAATCTAATCTAATCCCTTTGAAATATCTATTGAATATATTTGCTGGATGAAGGCGTAATGTCAAAATGTTGCATTCCCAAAACATTTATTTAGCCAGTAAGAATTACTAGAGCCCCAAGAGTCATTATTCTATGCTTTGGGGTAAGAGTTAAAATAATCTGGGAAAGCTGCTCTTAAGAAAAAACATGGACGTGAAAAAAGGTCCTTTATTTGTTGAAATAATTAGTTTTGCATAATGAAAGATAATGCGCTCTGTCGCTTTAAGAAACTTGACCCAGGAACCTCCTTTTGGTTCGCTCACTGTTCTTATGTAATAACACCTGTCTTCTCTAGAAGTTTCTAAATTATAGTCATTAATCCAATAATCTCTTCTAAAACCACAGCCAATGATTTGTTTTGTTATACTGAGCCTCTTAAACAGTTGCTATTCCTATTATTGGATGGATGAGTGGTTTTGTAATTATTATGTGGCATTACCTAAATATAAACCTTTATATTTAGGTATTTAGCTATTGTCATTCAAATTTTTCTGTCATCACCTGATTTAGACTTTTAGACAAATGTTTAATTTGATCCATTCAGAAATCCTAAAAGATCTCATGCATTGCAATATAATATGAAAACTAAGTGGTGCTATGATACACAATACTGAAAAAGTGCTTTAAATATGTAACTTTGGACAGTAGTTAGAGAGAAGAAGATATATAGATAATAATGTATGCTAAGCGTCAATGGAATGCGTAGACTTATGGTGCGTTCACACTTGAGTCCCAAATGAACCAGAGTTCACTTTAACTGAACCAATTTGGGCAAGAATTGGACTTGCCCTAATTGGTGATTGTCTGATTTTTTAACAACATTTTATGTTTACAACTTCTTCTTTGTTGGGACAAACATGTAATATTTATGAGATGAAAAGCTTGAAGTTTGATTTAATAATTGAAGGTTTACAGTCTATTATGTATTTCTCAGCATGATGTTTAATATAAGATATTTTACATCTCAGGAACACGACAAGCCGGGCGAAAGTGGTGGAGGAATGGTCCAGAGATGGCGGCGTGTTGCTGATGGGATATGAGATGTACCGCCTGCTGTCCCTGAAGAAGAGCTTTGTGGCTGGACGCAAAAAGAAGAACAAGAAGACCCCAAACTCCTCTGGGTCTGTGCTGGATGTGGACGAGGAGGACCGGCAGCAGGAGCTTCTTAAAGGTATTTAAATTCTACTCACTTGTATCAGTATTATAGTTTTTTTCACATGTGTCACAGTCTTGTCTAATCTTTCACCCATAAAATGTAAAAGAGGCTCATCAGAAGCAGAGGAGTTTGAACAGTCACTCAAGTGTGATTTGAATATGACAATTTTCATCTAACAAGTGTTTTATAGAGCTTATGCTGAAGGCTGTGAGAAGTAGCTAAGACTAAAAGTAGTAAAGTAATGCGTCAATTATAAAATCTCCCTTGACTACTGAGGAGTCATCCAACCTGAAGGAGCACTATACAGAAGCTCAAGCATACACAAAAAAATATGATTTCTACACAGCTTGGAGCCTAACCTGGTGATCCATGGCGTCTGTCCCCAGGTATAGAGAAGGCACTGGCTCGGCCCGGTCCCGATGTAGTGATCTGCGACGAGGGCCATCGCATCAAGAACTGCCACGCCAGCACCTCCCAAGCCCTGAAGAGCATCCGCACCCGCCGCAGAGTGGTGCTCACGGGGTACCCCCTGCAGAACAACCTCATCGAGTACTGGTGCATGGTGGACTTTGTGCGCCCAGACTTTCTAGGTATGGACCTCGCCGACAGATGTCTTAGGAATAGACATTTAGAGCCGCATTGAATCTTAAATGCTATGAAGATATCACACATATTGCAATTGTACTTAAAGTCTAGCTTAATTTTTTAATTCTTTGTGAACAAATGTTTTCATAAACCTAAAATATCAAACTGGATAGTTAGGATCAGGCGTGATACACAACAATATTATTTCAAAAGGCTGTAGTTTTTAATAGAATAAGTAGAATAATGGTTTCTTTCTTTATTGTTCTGTTTTATATTTTCAAGAAAGCTTACATTTAATTTTCTTTATCCATGCTTTTAGAATATGAATTAATTATCTAAGTTATTGTGAAGCTTACTTGTGCCTATGTCTGAACATCGTAATATAAATAAGGATTCCTTCTTTTCCTATTATACATGTTATGTTTGTGCAGGTACGCGTCAGGAGTTCAGTAACATGTTCGAGAGGCCGGTTCTGAACGGGCAGTGTGTGGACAGCACTCCTCAGGACCTGCAGCTCATGAGGTACAGGAGCCACGTGCTGCACAGTCTGCTGGAGGGGTTCGTTCAACGGTGAGTGTGTGCTTTGTCTGCTTTATTTTTACCATTTTTATGTTTAGGTACAGTGCCTGTTAACAATGAAGTGCCTCTCTTTATTTTGAATCTGAAATGCATGTTTTTTTCCCCAACAGGAAGTGTCTTTTTTAAGTAACATTTTGTGAATAAATCAAACTACAATATGCTAGAAAAATTATTAGAAAGTTGTTTATATAGTGAGGCTGACAGATGTGACGGGCCACCAATACATGCATGCGAAAAGTGATAGCGGACAGTTTTGAGTCAAGTTAATTGGTTGTAGTCCGATTATCCGTCAGTGACTGTGTACTCGCACACACACAGTCGGTAATCATGTTTTACTGTTTTCTTCCACAGACGGGGTCATGACGTTTTGAGAGAGCAGCTCCCAATGAAGGAGGAGCATGTGATCCTGGTGCGCCTGTCTCCCCTGCAGAGGGCGCTCTACACAGAGTTCATGAACCGCTTCCAAGAGGCGGGGAACACGGGCTGGCTCAGTCTGAACCCTCTCAAGGCCTTCTGTGTCTGCTGCAAGGTGAGGCCCCTGTTCGTAGAGCCTCCTGTTATTACACTACCATTCCATACTGTGAGGTGACCTAGACATTTGTATGTTTTTGATGGAATCTTTCTATTCGATTCATCAAATGAGTTCACGAACATAAATGGTCGTGAAGATATTGATGACTATAATGCAAACTCATAAATGCCAATGATGCAGATACTCAACTAGTTTTATAGCTTCTCTAATTTGCACTTTTAAAAAAACAATTAATCCATTTGACTCAGCTCAGTTGGTAGAGCATTGGCCTTCAGGCCTGAAGGTCGTGGGTTCAATTCCCACCTCTACACCTTCTCCACCGACTCCCACTGATGACTGCTGTCATTGTGTCCTTGGGCAAGACACTTAACCCCACTTTGCCCAAAGCCCCCACTGAAAGATCAAGGCTATGCTCACACTCAGAGAGCAGCCGTCCTCCTGTGGACTCACCACCTGCAGAGGGTCAGTGAGGGGCTGGTGATATGAGACTTGCCCCCTGACCCAGAAATGGATTAAAGGGTAGAAAATGGATGGATGGATGGAATTAATCCATTTGACACAATCTTCCGACACAGCAAAGACACTGGAGTTTCCAGCTTACTCCAAAATATATAGGTTTTACATCAAAACCTGATTATATATAAGCCATATAAACGTATGTATAAACCATATAAACAATATCAAAAACCTATACAGAATGAGATTTTAATCAGAAAAGGAAATATTTTTAATGACAGATAAAATTTTAATTTAAATTTCTACCACAACTGGAACAATGAACATTGTTCATAAGATAAATGAAGCTTAAATTGTGTGTACTGCTTAATTAAAACATATATTCATAAAACACTTTTCTTGTATTTCAGATTTGGAACCACCCAGACGTGCTGTACGAGGCTCTGCAGAAGGAAAACCTGGCCAGTGAACAAGACCTGGACCTGGATGACATCACCTCCTCCCGCTGCCACACAACGGCCAATCAGAAGCCCAAACCACTGGAGACGCCAAACCCCATTGGTGGAATGAGTCTGACCCAAATGCAGGAGAAAGCCAATCAAGTCATCACTTATGAATGGGTGCGTATTTGTTTCAAGCCATGCGTCACTTAATTGTGATAATAAATTAACAGCATTTTTTTCTATTAGGCAAAAGAAATTATGAAGGACTATATCCCCGGTGTCCTGGAGAACTCCGCTAAAATGGTGTTGCTGTTTCATTTAATAGAAGAGAGCGTCAGAAAGGGAGACAAGTTGCTCGTTTTCAGGTATTGATGCTTGAAAACTTGTCTTATGCACTATTTTGTAATCATCTGTGTGGGTATATATTGAATATTTTTCTCCCACAGTCAGAGTTTGTCCACACTGACTGTGATTGAAGAGTTCTTGGCAAAGCGACCTGTTCCTCCTTCACCAAATTCCAGCAAGAACAAATCAAATCAGAACTGGGTCCGAAACCTCAACTACTACAGTAAGTACATACATTCTCCAGTGTAATTAATACAGTTAAAAATGTACTAAAATCCCCATTGTGGGACGTATAAAGGATCTCTTATCTCATCTTATTTTTGAAATATTAACTGTTCTAACATACAGTGAACCTGTCTGGCTGAATACAAGCATTATTAGATTAGTAATAAAGTAGTTCAAGTTACAGCAGTTGTCTTTTTGTCAAAGTACAAAACGTTCAAACTGTTACACCGCCATTCACCTCTGTTCCAGTCATTTTATCCTTGACTTTCAATGGGTGCTGCCACTTGCTGATGTTTGTACGGCATTGCATCGTTTCTTGACATTCATATTTTTCTCCAGGATTGGATGGCAGCACAACAGCTTCAGAGAGAGAGCGTCTCATAAACCAGTTCAACGACCCTGCAAACACATCTGCCTGGGTCTTCCTACTCTCCACCAGGTGAATATTACAAAATACAAGATCATTTTAAAGCTGGGGTACCTAACATTCATACTACTACTTTCAACATGAAATCCATCTAACTAGTTCTTTGCTCTCTAAACGGTATCACTAGTTTTCACATACATCTTTTTTTGGTTTCTGTCACATCTTTAGATTAAGACATAACTTTATATGTCTTCTGTATTGTAGAGCCGGTTGTCTCGGGGTGAACCTAATCGGGGCCAACCGCGTAGTGGTTTTTGACGCCTCGTGGAACCCGTGCCACGATGCCCAGGCCGTGTGCCGAGTTTACCGCTACGGCCAAAAGAAACGCTGTCATATCTACAGGCTGGTTTGTGACTTCACCCTGGAGAAGAAAATCTATGACCGGCAGATCTCCAAACAGAGCATGTCTGGTGAGTGGGAGCAGCAATGTGACCATATGCCTTTTATTAGAATTTGCTGAATTATTCCCATTATTAACACCATGTTCATAAATGTTGTAAGTTTGATCATGGGTCTGTTGATCTCCCATAAATACGATGTCAGCCAGGTTTTCATCATCTCCTTCTCAGAAGGGTTAACCCAATCCCCTTTTCCTCTGTTCTGTGGTGTGTCTCATCTTCTCTCCCGTGTCCTACAGATCGCGTGGTGGACGACCTGAACCCTGTCCTGACCTTCACTCGCAGAGAGGTGGAATCTCTGCTTCACTTTGTGGAAGAGGAACCAGACCCTGCTTATGTTCAGCTGCATAATGATGATATGGAGTCTGTCCTCAAGAGGGCGCTTTTTCTTTACCCACACCTCATCACCAAGGTAAAATTACACATATATATCAAATTAGCCAAATGTGTGTGTCAAATGTACCTAATTATATCCTGCAAAGACTGTATTTTTAACATTAACATGTTGCACACTTCTGTCTTTTGCACAATCTGATTGATTCTATCGATGCTAAATGTGATTTGTAATTTTCTCCATTGTGAGATCAATTAAGTTATACATCATAAGGATATACATAAATAATGGCATGTGCTAAAATTAGCACGTGTGTAGTAAACATGCTTGTATTGTGAGTACAACAACAGCTAAAACTTATTTTCTTGTTGATTTCATTTTATTTATTATTTGTAGCACAATTGACACATAGAAATGCTATTCAAATGTCTAACTGATTTACAAAATAGACAAATATATTTTAAACACCATAAAAATATCAACCCACATTAAAGGCAAGTCAAATCAATCTTAACTGAACTGAGTGGGGGTCTTAGTTTTCAGGAAGACTGTTCCAGATTTTAATGGAAATACTAAAAAAGGCTGAATGGGGTGCTAACATCTTGATTTTGATCATTTAATTATCAAACCGATCTTTACATATTTTCTTGACTAAATGTTACAAGAATAAAACTTATCTCTTTTTTTCTTTCACAGCAACCGTTTGCTCACGAGTCCTTGCTGATGGATCGCCGTGAGCTGAAGCTGAGTTCTGCAGAGAAGAAGGAGGCGAAGAAAGGCTACGAGGATGAGAAACGCGCCTCTGTGCCTTACACGCGGCCCTCTTACGCTCACTACTACCCCGCCAGTGACCAGAGCCTCACCAACATCCCTGCTTTCAGCCAGAGGAACTGGTCAGTCAATATACTGGCAATTATAGACAGTATCTCATGCTGAATTATTTCTTATACTTCTTGAAACTTCTCTTCATTATACCTAACTTTTAACTAGTCCTTTGTGACTATTTAAATCATATGCTGAGCTCTAAATCTGGATTGACAGATTGCAAATACATTATTGCCCTGTTGGTGGCGGCATAGTTATTAGCTTTTAGCTTTGGTTCAAACTTATTAAGATTAGGTTCCACCATAAAATCATGTTTCTATCTAATTCAATAAATGATTTGTTTCATGTACAGCAACTGACCTGCGCTAGGGCTGTAAACATGCATTGCTATAGTCACTTTTTATTCTAATTGCGCATAAAATACTGTCTTTTGGCACACCCTGAGTGATCTTTTTATGCCAAATGTGACATGTTGACTCTCCATTGTGAGATCAGTAAAGTTTTATCTTATCTTATCTTATACTGTGCATGGGATGTATGGGAACAATTTCAAATAAAAAATCAAAGATTAAATTGTAGTATTTTTAATATTGCTTAATAATGTTCAACCAATCCATAATTCTTTGTACCACTAGGCGCCCACCTGCTCGAGTTGAAGACAAACCAGTAGCCAGTGTGCGTCCTCTCAAATCAACTGCAGTTCCCATGATGCCTCGCCAGGCCACGGACCCCACCCCCAGCTCTGACTCCGCCTCCTCTGAGTCCAAACTGGGAGGATTTCCGGTCAACTGTCTGCAGAAAGCCGGTGTTGTCGTGCAAAAGATAGTCACTACAACTGGTAGGAGAATTTTTATATCATCCAAATAGTGAAAATAAGTAAAACATTTCCCAGTAAAGAAATAGGAGAGTCATTTTCCAACATTTTTTCCGTAGACATGGTAATCCCAGGGACCAACAGCTCCACAGATGTTCAGGCCCGAATCGCAGCTGGAGAAAATATCCACATCATCAGAGGAACTAAAGGTAACATATATTTTTACACTTAAATTCTATGGTGCAATTTTCTATATGTGACGTCTAACATAATTCATTTTCAGGGACCTACATTCGAACTTCAGATGGCAGGATCTTTGCCATAAGAGCAGCGAACAAAGCAAAACCACTAGACAAAAATGCAACAGCGCCACTCGAAGGTACGGTCTGGAAACTGCTTTGCTGATAATTTCCTCTATTCGGTTATTAATAAAGAAAGAAATGAGCAAGTAACTTTCTCAAGCGTTCATCAGAGAGAAATATATAAATTACTCAAAAAATACGAATCAAAGTGTTAAAATTCCGAAGCAAAAAATGGTCACATCTGTTTTCGCTCTGAAATAATTTTCCCAGACATTGATCAACTGGGGATAACTAAACTTTTCTGCTTTCCAGACTCCTTGCCTAAACCCGACGACCTCTCATCCAAGAGAAGCACCGGCTGTGTTTCGCCTGACCGCAACCTACCGTCTTTGCCGCGGCCAATTTCTCCGGACAGCCCAGAAATCATTAATGAGCTCCAGCGCTACAGTACAACCACTGAACAGAAGCCTTCGCGACTCAACGGCACAGCCCTTCCCAATATGGCCTCTGCCTCGTCCGCCACTCCACAAGATCTGCGCATCACTTCCAAGCGCAAATCCTCATCTCCCTTGTCCTATGAACGCCCCAGCAAGCAGCCGATCATGGGCCACTCCTCGGCTACAGCTGTGTTAGCTTCGCAGAGCTATCCGTTCAATAGCGCATACCCTCTTCCGCACATAGCCTTGAATCCCTCAGTTCTTAGCCGATCGCTTTACATGAACTCGCCGTATTTCCAAGGCTCGCCATTGGGAGAATCTGGTTTTTTGTATCCAGATATGGCTACAACCACTCCAACAACATCCATTTCAACTACTTCTACCACTACTTCTGAGCAACCCAATTCAAGCGGCATTCCTTCGTATATGCGTAGCCCGAACGTGGCTAGCCTTTCAGGGATGCTACCTCCAGGTTTCCCCATGTCGTACACACAATCTTTGGCTAATCTTTACTCCAAATCGATGCTGAATGGAGATTTGCTTGGTCCTGCTGCTACGCCCGGCCCTGCTGGGGCTAGTTTCCTATCCAAATTCCCCACAAATGCAGAATCGAGCAAACGTGCGTCAGTGCTAGTCAACAGCGCTAACCTCAGAAACGCTAGCAGCTCTGACAACGAAGATGAAGTGATTGAAGTGAAAGAAGATTGATTGACTGGATATGTTTTATATAATAAAACATATCAACATATGAGAGGTACATCCTGGTTGTACTGCGATGCCGTTAGGGAAGCTAAAGATGCTAGCTAATGTAATTGAACGGCTAATTGAAAGTGACTTGTTTTTTTCCAACTTGATTTTCTGGACTTCTGCATTTAAATCACTGGACTGTTCTGCTTGTACCTGAGTGATATATGCCAGAAGCTTAAGCACTAGTCCTCTGCTTTGCTAAAGACTTTTTCGCGTACAGACTTGGCATTAGATGGTAGCAAACATCTTGTTATGAATATCGTTTTGTCAGTTGTTGATTCTTGCTACTGATAAAAGCATTATGAATGGTTTGAAAATGTTCACTGCCAGGACATGGGAATTGTACAACCTTACAGAAAAAAATGGGATAATTTTTTAGGCTTGATTTCAAACCAGTCGCAGAAAAACCTTAAACTTTAGCTTTGAGAATGTAACGCTAAATGCCTTTAAACCAGGCCTTATTATGAATCTTGGACCTCCCTCAGACCACTGGGATCCTAATGTAATTGCAGTGATGGAATTTTTCTCTTAAAAACTAGCATTGTCCAATGTAGGCTACAAAGTTGTCGCATTTGCTCTTGTTGCATTCCACCATAATTTCTCAAAGTACATTCTATTTCAAATTTAGTAAGTGTATTTTGGCATTCAAACAATATATTTGTGCAGATTCTATTTTTCCAGAAATATTGGTTATACCACTAAAAGTGAATTTGTGACTTTTCTTCCCTTTGTTGGCCCATTTTCATTATGTCTGCTCAAAAAAGTGCATGTTGGTCTGAGGGAGGCCAGTCTTTAGGCAGCAAAAGTGGACCGATCTGTTTGTCCTTTTTTACATCTCTCTTTATGTGAACCGATTGCCTGAAAAAATGAAAAGCCTGAAAACAGAGAAAAATTACTGTTTGTAGCGGCATTTAAATAATGAAGAAAAAAAGAACACTTCACCAACAGAAGATGCCTTTTACTGCCTCCATCTTTGTGAATGTGAATTGTGAGAACATGTCTCACCACCGGCAGTCTTACCGTAGCCTCTAGGACAACCATGCAAATAACTCACTCAAGCCTATATAAAGCATTTGTTTCAAATGGAAGGCAGCCGAGAAGCTCATGTTCCATTGTTTTTTAGGCTTGTGTCGTTTCTGTGTCTGTAAATGTGTTATTCTATAAGAGTTCACTAATGGAAATGACAAAATGGACTTGATAAGAAAAACATAATCATGTGTTTAAAAGATGAGAGTTATGTCTCAAAGTCGTTCATATAAATTCATATGATCCAAAAAACATGTATGTTTTGGACATCAATGCTTGGCTGTAGACCTAAATTTAATTATAACTTTTGTTGCACTGCCCTAAGGATCTAAAATGATCACAAATAAGTCTCAAGCCAGACATCACTTGTTGTGCTTGCTGTGCACTTTGTGGTTTCAAACTGGAACAAAAAGAACTAAGCCAATACTGATCTACTTTTTAAACAAGTGGAATATATTTGATCAACTTTGGTGAATACTGACCAATTTGCAATCAGTGGTTTGGATGATTGGAATCACAACGCTCACTGGAGCCCATATCCTTATATGGGCATTTGTTCCAACAGGGTTACTGCCATGCCATAGTAGGGGCAAACATGTTGCTAAGACGGTTGCTAAGTCCCCCCCTGCAAATGAAGGCGCCCAATCCTTGTCATTCATATCTGGATTTATAAAGATATCATCCAAATAAAATTCCTAAGATCACAAAGACCGCTAAAACGTCAGAGTGACAGGAGTTTACTTTTCAATGCAAGTAAGAAATAAATAGTAAATAAATTAAAAGAATAGTAAATCAAATAAAAAAATAAAAAGTAAATAGGAGGCAGAAGAAGCAAAACTTTGTTCCCTATTGGACTGGAGCTCGTGGGTTAGCATTGTCCATCTAAATACAAGTCATGCAATATTCTCATACTTGGAAAGAGTTCTCTCTGTAACAAAGCTCTGCGTTAGAATGACTGAATTTGTCGGCTCTGTCTAGACTCAGACCAGAAACATAATCAGAGGTTATTTTGATCCCTCAGTAATTCTTTTTTTTTAAATTTGATAAAAACTCAAAAGGTAGTAGCTTCCATACACAATATGACCCCTCTTCCATCACATTTTGTTTATCCATAACCAGCTGTTCATTTTTTTTACTTTCCTGTTTATACATGTTTTTTATTATTTACCAAATCTGAATTTATTTATAACTGTGTATTTATTCATCATTATTTTGTATTTTTGTACAATGGTTTGGTCTGATTGGTTTGTTTCTTTTGGTGATTTTGTTACGCTTTGTTATTTGTTTTTCCTTTGACAATCTGCTTTGACTCTAAAAATGTGCTTATAAACGTGGACCAATCAATCATTGCAGTGAGTCCTGTATTGGAAATTAAACTTGGTAAATTTGTTTGCATGCTATACATTTTAATGAGCGTTTACTCTAGATTTCTTTCATATTAAAAGGCCTTAGAATTAAAAGCAAAATCAATTTATTGACATAAAATTGATAAGGCGTTTATTTAATTGCATGAGCAAGTGTGCTTTCACAAATGATTTTCAATTGACATATTAGCTAATTGGCCTGATTATGCATTTAAGTACTATATTTTAACAAAACATACAATATGTTATATTATAGAAACTAAAAATATCACCTCTTTAATCACTCGTCCTTGATAGTAAAATGATTGATCAAAGTTTTCCGCCATTTTTCATTTCACCATTGCCAAACTGGCAGCACCATCTCAACCAGCGTGTAAATGACGGCAGACGCATTTCCATCAAAGACAAGTTTTGTTACATAACATTCTGAACCTTTTTAGCTTTTGATTAGACAAAGCATTGATCTTTGAATGTCTTTGGCTTATGCTCATGACAATGGAGTCTCGCTGGTAGTTGCATGTGTTAACAGACCATTTAAGAAGTAACAAGTGCTTTGTAATGTGTGCGTTCTCTCTTTTCCATATCAAAAACTGTGTATATGTCATCCATTTCGACAGCCTTGGATCGACCAAACGCTCTTGTGTTAGTGGGAACGGCTTGATACTTGAATTTATTTATTATTCTTTAAGCCAAGATTTGTCTGAGTCCAAATGTGAGAAGAGCTGCTGCTGCTGTCTCTAGGGAAAGAAAAAAGTAATCAAACATGTATTTGTTCTTATCGTGTCAGCCTATATTGTCTCTGATTTTACTTTCAAACCCTTTTTTGAAATTTGTAAATAAAGAAAAAAAATCCAACATTTTCTGATTCCTTCTTGGGTTTAGAGGTTTACAGGATTCGAGTTTATGATCATCGTTATCATCAAAACATTGTATATGAGCTAAATTAATATCAACATCAATCTTTAAACCAGTGGTCTCAAATATGGCCCAAGAAATGGTATTTTGTGACCCCTAGTGGACACTAAACTTAATGTCTGACCCCCATGTCTGAAAGTCTGGGGTAATATTTTATTGTTTTAAAGCAAATCTTATCTAGAAAACAACCAAGCCATTTATTATACCATAAACATTGAACAGTGAAAGCAATTAGCTACAAATAAAAGTAAACATTGTTAAACCTCGTCTACAAAGGCTCATTGCTTTTTGTTCAGATTTGTTTCAATCCAAGCAACTGGACTCATATCGTTCAAAGAAATACTGTACATACAAATTATATCAAATTCATATCAATTTGCTCCAATGTAAATGTATTTTGCACACATACAAACATGTCATAGGCAAACACCGTAATGTGGCCCAGCGTCAGCCAATTGACCTCATGCAGCCCCCAAATTACTTAAATTTGAGACGCCTGCTTTAAACCTATTATTTCTTACAAACTTGTTAGATGTATACCAATAAAATAGTAATCTTTTTATAATAAAAGTGGAAGACTTTATTTAAAATAAAATATTTATATGTACAGTACACACTGTAGTTCTTACCAGATTAAACACTTTACAGATTTCTATAATTTTCTGTGTCTTTTGATTTTTGGATTGTTTATGGACAGAGTGCATTGTATGACCCTGTTATAAATACCAACAAAGTTACTTTAGGTGGACAAATCAACGATTAATGTGATAGTTGGATTACCTACATTGTCTTCAATGCCACCATATGGCGCCTCTAAAAATGTCTATCAACTTAATAAAATAGTTGCAGATGAACTTAACATAGCCAGAAAGTCAACTGGTTTTATTGTGTTTCAACTGGGGGCGACAGTGGCTCAGTTGGTAGAGCGTTGGCCTTTGCGCCTAAAGGTTTACCTGAAGCCCCCACTGAAAGAAGAAATAAATCTGTGATGAATCAGTCGGAACTCCAAACTCCAATTAACAATAAAGTGATAAATAAGGATTTATGTGAGTGTATTCACCTGGACCTTGGAAACTCACAGGAGGCATCTTCAGTGATCTATGGAACATAAGGGCCCTCAGGACCACAGAGAACATCCATATTTCTATGAGCAGGCTCAAGACACACGTATTCGACTTTTCAGTAGTTGATTTATATGTTATTTATTGAACAGTGTTTTACCTATTATATTTAGTTATCTTACATTTAGTCTACTGGACTATATTAGATTTTATTGTTGTGAGTCTTGGTGAAGGTTTAGAGCCTCGGCTTCATCTCTCCTCTGGGTCCTGTGTCATCTTGTCAATGGCTGCAAAGAAGTCTCTCCCCCGGGTGCAGACGACTCCTCCGATTGTGCTTCCTCTGTGGGCTTCACCCGAACCCGGCCTAATGTTTTCCTCAGTTTTTCTTCACCTATTTTATGTGACCAATGAAATAGGTGAACTTTGGAGTTAGATAATTCTGCAGACATTGTTCCTTCTTATAATTAGAATAAATAACTCATCAGAGACTACCAGAGTGGCTTGACTCCAAGAGTTAAGCCACTTGTTTTTATTCCAAACTATTCTGACAAAGGGTCCCGAGCGTTTTACAGATAGAACTCGTTCTCCCTTTTTAGAATACTTCATTTCCCAGAATGCGTTTCTGCGACGTGGACTTTGCGTAATGTGTTCCAGGTGACGTCGGCTCCGTACCATACGTACCCCTCGCCTCTGGTTCCTGCATCATAGAGGCGTCCGCACCGATTAAAGCTCATTTCTGTGCCCGGTAGAGCCAACTACTTCCTCGTAATATAGTAGAGACGAAAGGAATTGAAATAATTATTTATTTGTCATATATGTGCATGATTGGCGGCTTTTAAGCTCGTCTTTCGCTTTGTTTTGGAGGCCTGTTTGAGCTCCGGGAGATCACCCTCGGTCTCGCTTTAGTAAAACCCTGCGCTCCGATGACCAGGGCAGTGGAGCTCTGACCTCGGAGAATCAATAAGGTTGTATGATCATCACCTGAACACTTTTTATGTGTAATTACATCATAACCTTTCTTTATGGCACAATTTGGCTTCTGTCAACAATGCTAACGTGTTGACAAGCTAGCTAACTCTGAGCTCGTAGTTCAGAGAAGTTGGCAGTTTGAGGAAGGATTTGCATATGGATTTCTCTCTCTCCTTGTGACTTGCTTTTACCAATCTCTGAAGGTCGCATTTCGTGTGGTATGACGCTGAAGGTGTCTTGCTAGTCTTGATGAGAGTGCCTCAAAGCGAATCTGTCAAGTTTATTCGCCTTGGTAGACCGAGGGCGCCAGGTTTGCATCTAGGTTTTCCATTGTTGACATCTTTAAGCTATATATTTGCTCATTTATCTGGCTACACAACACAAGCAAACATTGACTCAGCTTATGTGACTTATTTCGCAATCATGGAAAGGGCGTGGATTCCCTTATGTTTTCGTAAATAACCTGCACTGAGTATGTTGATTCAATAATATGCAGGCACCATTGTGAAAAAAATTACTAATAATTGTTTTCAGTAGTAATATATCAGGTTGTAATTAATCTGTTTTCTATGTTTGTTTTCTAAATCTATAAAAGAACAGCGGGCAATTTCTGATGTTACCCGTGTTTACCATTTTAGCACTGTTCATCAGATGTTTTAGTTGTGTTGTTATTGTTGTTCATATTGTTGCTAGATCTTGAGGCACAAAAGAACATCTAGAGCTAAACTTGGACAGGGCTGCCTCAGCTCTGTTTGCCTTTTGTGTGTGTTTTAGTTCAGTATCACTGGACAGTACAAACAAAAACGTGTTTTTGGACACTCGTTTTCTTCCAGATACCTGCTCCTAATTATGATATGTTAAGATAAGAGAACCTTTATTTTTAGAGGGGAAATTCCGGTGTTTCAGCGCACATACTAAATATTACCCAATAGTACGATGTTATCAATACCATTTATAATAGCTTTGCAGTTTATTATTCATCTGCATATTTTACTGGCCTTCAAGGGATTCGTGAATGTATTGGGTGTTTATTCTTTCAGTAATGATAAAAAAACATAATTTATAGTAATTAATCTCTTCCAGAATTTATATTGATATGTACGAAAATTATAGCCCAAAATTCTGTTGTCATGAATATAAATTGGGTATGGATTGGAGATTGATAATAACATTCAACTAAAGTTACTTTTTGTATCCACAGCTTTCCAGATGACTCTTTTTGAACATGTGATACTACTTGGACCCATACCTGCCTCTGCTCGCCACTGCTGCTAATCTTCAACCAATCCCAAACTTCCCCACATCTGTCGCGCTCCCTCCTCTACCATGAATCGTTACCTCCCTGTAGCCAGACAACACTTTCTGGCAGCTTTAGCCAGCACTAGCGTCGTGGTGAAATCCATTAGTGCTGTTGTTGTCTTGCTCTATCTCCTATCATTTGCAGTGGACACCTCTTACGCCTTAGGAATTACGCCAGGCTATCTGTTCCCTCCTAACTTCTGGGTTTGGACTTTGGTGACTCATGGCGTTGTGGAGGAGCACATATGGGGTGCGGTTGTTAACGTTGGGACAGTGATGACATGCGGACGCCTCTTGGAACCTCTGTGGGGCGCTCTGGAGTTGCTGATTTACTTTGCGGTGGTGAATGTTGCTGCCGGTCTACTAGCAGGGCTGTCCTACATGCTAACGTATGTGGCTACTTTTGACTTGGACTTCCTGTTTGCGGTGAGGGTTCATGGAGCAGCCGGGTTTTTGGGAGGAGTTCTGGTGGCGCTGAAGCAGACGATGGGAGACACAACAGTACTCAGAGTGCCGCAGGTGAGTGCATAAGTAAAAATATGGTTGATTAGTTTATATTGTCACACTGGTTGACCTAAAAGTCTTGGGGCATTTTTGCTAGGTGTTGTTAAGTCCAAACAGACTGCACTGCTCTCGTGTTGACATCTTTTACGCCGACCTTCCAACATAGCCAAACATGTGAATTAGGGATGTGAAGATTATTCATATTATTTGTTCCATGTCATCTCGTTATCACATGGAGTTATTTGTTCTCTATACTATTAATGTATACCCAAAACCTTTGTGGTAACGAACTGGTTGAAACTATGGTTACCAGTTATTGTAATGCATACGCAGAGAGACGGATAACTGTCACCGACAGTGCTTTTCATCAAAAATGATGCCTCAAGAAGCACTTTAAAACACTTTTTAAATCACTTTAGTTTTACCTCAGTCAAATTGAGTGAATATCATCCTCATGCATCTAAGTCATCAGACATTTGTCTGTTTGTTTGTTTGACTGATTCAAGTTTGGGGGTGATCCGAATCACAACCTGGATGCAGGATTTCTTTAAGGAAAGTAACTGTGGCTCTAAGGGGAGATCTACAAGTGCTTTTCTAGTTTGTGAATAAATGGATTGCTCCACTTAATTGATTGGTTAATTGAAAGAATATGTACAATACATATTCTCTAGTTTAATTTTCTCTACCTAGATTACTCAAGGTCAGGGCTTTAGATCAGACAGGGCTCTGTTTTCAAGTTTGAGTAGATCCAACATCAGGTTGATGGTAGCACACACACTATCTTTTGTCATGGTTATTTCAGTGGAAATGTTATAACCACTGTAATTTCAATCGACTGATGCAACTTGAATAGTTCTTCATCAGAGTTGGCTGTGTAGGTTTGACAAATGTTTCGCTGGCATTGGCTCAGGTACAAGCATTGTCCCTGTTCTTGGGCTGTGTTAGTGTCTGTGGATGAATGGTGGGAACTGGCAGTTGATTAGTTCGCAGTAGTTCAGCGCTGAACTGGAAGCTTCTGGATAGAATAATGCATACTGCCTCTGTTTCATGGAAACTAGACTGGTCAACTATTGTATCATCTAAGCAGAGAGACTTTATGGCTCTGTTTTGGACAATGCAGTTATAATTAACTTATTAAAGTTTATGGATGTACTAACATAATTAATAATAAATCATGAAATGTATAAACCGAAATCAATTGTTACTACATTTTTTACTTCTTCTCATGGCCTCATAAAAGATATTGCAGTTTATTATCCTGGTACTGAAATTATCTCAACATCTCTAAAAACATCTCTCTTCACCTCTACACTTGTGCTGCAGGTGCGGTTAAAAGCGGCCCCCGCCCTGGTTCTCCTCCTCCTGTCGTTGCTGCGTCTCTCCGGGCTCGTGGAGAGCGCCGCCCCTCTGGCCGCCTACATGTATGGCGCATTGTCGGGGTGGGTGTACCTGCGCTTCTACCAGAGACACAGCCGGGGCAGGGGAGACATGTCGGACCACTTTGCCTTTGCCAGCTTCTTTCCCGAGGCGCTGCAGCCGGCCGTGGGGCTGCTGGCCGGCCTGGTGCACGCAGCGCTTGTCAAGATCAAGGTGTGCCGCAAGATGGTGAAGAGATACGATGTGGGGGCACCGTCCTCCATAACAATCAGTCTGCCTGGGACCGACCCCCAGGACGCAGAGAGGCGGAGGTAAGTGGACTACGCCGCCTTTATTACTAATGTGCTCTTCCGCAACATGTAAGCTGTTCATTTACCATAATTAAACATGGGGTGCAGTCAAAGAGGTTTTTTAGTGTGGAGGCAATGGATATCAGGCAGAGTGACCATTGTATCTAAAGCATCCACTCCATGGGTGTCAAAGTCAAGGCCCGAGGGCCAGATCAATTCAATTAAATTTTATTACAGACTCTAGGTCCAATTTAAAATGTACAGACAAGAAAAAAGAAAATTAAAAAAAACAGTTATCAACAGTAGCTCAGTTGATAGAGCAGAGGGTCGTTGTGTCCTTGGCAAGACACTTAACCTCTGGGAACACCAGCCACAGTGGGGAGGCTGCGGCCAAACTGCTGTTGTGTCCTTAGGCAAGACACTTCACCCCCATTGCCTAGAATGAGTCTGGTGTGTGAATGGTTGGTGGTGGTCGGAGGGGCCAATGGCACATACTGGTTGCCTCGCTTCTGTCAGTGTGCCCCAGGGCAGCTGTGGCTACAGTAGTAGTTTATCACCACCGTGTGGAGTGAATGAATAATGACATGTAAAGCGTCTTTGAGTGTCCAAAAAAGCGCTATATAAAACCGATGCATTATTATTATTATTATTATTATTAAAAGACAGCCATACCAGTGTCTCCATATCTTGAACTGCACTCGAGTGGCACTGAACCTGATGTTTGTCAGCGCTTAAATTATTATATTTTCTGATTTGTTCAGTCGACAAATGAAACTGTACATAAGGCTCCTCAGCACAGCCTGTAAAGTGTTCACATGAGGTCGTGAGGTGACCAACAGCTCAGATGCACTGGTCCAACGTGGCTTTTCCATAAGACCTCTTTGGTCCGACAGATCATGACCATACTCTTCGCTGCATTAAACTTGATGTCACGCTCGACTCCATACTCTGAACAAATATTGAGCAGGTTCTGTAAACCAGCTGTACTTTGGCTGAACACAACCAAACTTCCAACCATACACCCAGTTTTACCTGATTTCAGTCGCATTGATAGTTCATCCATATAAACATTAAATAAAACTGGGGACAAAATACCTCCTTGTCTAACCCCGTTTCCAACTAAAATAATCTTGGCCCCCCGGATGATATTGGATTATTATTAGACCAGTCTGCACAGAGCCATAAGAAAATATTGGATTATTAATTTAATGTTCAGGACATGTGTTTTCTTTTTGAATGAAGTTTGTTTTTGTCTGTAGCCTGTTGGAAAATGTTTACACTTGAAATTACTGACAGAGCCATACAGAAATATTGAATTATTAACTTAATCATTAAATAAAATACGGTACACTGTGTTAGGTCTTGGTTCAATTATATGCAATAATTCTAATATGTTTTAATAAACATTGAACCAGTCCGGCCCTCGGCTTGCAGCACGTTTGGATTATTGGCCCTCTGATGTATTTGAGTTTGACATCGTAGATCTACAGGTTCATGCTTGTTACATAATTTTGCCATGTGATGTATAAAGAGTGACCACTATATCAGTTGGCCGATATATTTGGTGGCGCTGGTGATGGCGACATGCAGCAGAGCTCTGTGTGCCTTTGATCCCTGTTGCCGTTGATATTTTAAACCAGTTATTGTAGTTCTGTTTATTGTGTATACATTATTTCCTTAGTGCCTTTCTGTTTCTGCAATTAATTTGCCCCTTGGGGAGAAAATTTTGAAATATTGACTATTGGCAAGGCAAAAGGCAATTTAGGAGGAGCTGCAAGCCATCTTCAAAAGAACAAACAAAAAATTCAAAATACCCCCATAATGTGAAAATGTAAATATACCCCAATATAGTGGATATTGGATGCTGTATGCAAAAAATGTCTATAACCAGCAAATGGCTTTATGAAATCATCTTGATTGCTACTACTAAGGTATTACCATCAGCCCCTACCCCACGTTTATTTGATGCCTTAAAAGAGAAAAAAAAAATCTGCACAATGCATCGTTACAGCCTTATCAAATATGGCAACTGTAATCTAAACAATTGTTTTTGTCTTTTGTCTTGAACCTCCTAATATTTTTTTTTTTTCTTCAGACAACTGGCTCTTAAAGCTTTGAACGAACGTTTGAAGCGTGTGGAGGACCAGTCGTCGTGGCCAAGTATGGATGACGAGGAAGATGACGATGAAGACGAACTCAGAACACACTCCCAGCCTCTACTTCCTGTTTCTTCTTCCTCTTCTGGACCAATCACAGCCTCTGGCACGCACAGCAGCACAGCACCATCAGCACCAGAGTCCAGTATCATCAGCTTTGAGGACGCATCTTCCAGATCGTAATAGAAAAATCCAGAAGCCTGTGCCCCGGGCATAGGGCATAGGAGAGGACCGTGTACGGTGTTGAGAAGTTCATGTCAACTGTTTACGCTCTACAGTTTCTTCTTGTAAAAGCTGATTTTTCTGCCTTGGACTTTCTTGCAGAGCTCTGTTCACTGCTTCTATGTCTGTTTCTCTTCAACTTTCTAAATAAAAGAAGAAATGAGTGGTTCTTCACTGCTTCCTTAAATGTTATGTTTTTCTCATAGGGTTTTGAAGGCTAATTTTACATCCCATTATCCTTGTAGTATAATTTATGATATGACCCGAAAATCAAGAAATTGATTATTTCTGACGACCAAAAAAATGTATTATCTTTAATGGGAAACCTCTTGGTGCTCAATCTGCTTAGCTACTTTAAAGATTTAGTATTTTTTTTAGATTATTTTTTATCTGTTTTATCAGTTTCATCTGGCTTATTTTTTCTTTTACTTACAAATGCAAAAGCGTTATCATAACTCGTAAAAATTGGAATTAAAATAAACAATTCTCACGTTTTGTACCAGGTAATATTTAAAATAGAAAAAACATTCACATTTTATAGAGTGTCTTTTCTCTATAACATTTGGCCAGAAAAGGCCGGTTCAGACAATCTTAATGGAAAATAGGAAATTATTTTTAAAATCCACCAGGAGGCGCAGTAAGACTGCCCTTTCTGCAACAACTACTACTAATATGAGTTCCCTGTTCTTTTGAGTATAATTAAATGACCTCAGTGTTTCGGCTGCTCTCGTCAGTTTCTATAATCTTCAAACATAAGCTGCGTACAAAAGTGCTTCATAATTATATATCATGACACTGTAAATATGACCTGCGATTTTTGTTTGATTTAATTGTTTAAGGTTATTTTACAGATTTTATTTAATCAAAATTGTTTAATAATTATGAAATAACACATGAAAACCACAAATGAATAAACGCAATCACAATAAAAGCTGAATTATGAAAACTATAATATAATAACGATAATAGTCAATATATCAACTATTAAAATAACTAAAGGTTATTTTTCCATTGACTTTGTTATAAGATTATAGTTATAACAAATTCAAGTTTGATGAAGGGTAATGACCCGAAACGTCACATTGTGTGGTAAGAATTAAAATCTCCTGGGAGCAAAAGCTGTGCAGAGTCATCTCCATTTTTTTCATTGATCTATTTTCGACTTTTTGCACGCTACTTAGAATTTTATGTGCGCGTCAATCTCACTCTTTCCCCAAGATTATAGTTCCCCTCATCTACTATGTTAGAAATATATGTATTCTTTTCAAAGTTACGGTCCGGTGCTCTCGTGCTCGCGCAGGCGTGGCTCAGCGCTCGTGCCCGCCACCCCTCCCCCAGCTGCGCGCTCCCGAGGCTCAGCTCATTGTACCAGACAGACCGAGAAGGAGCCAGCGTTCTCCAGTTCTAACGAGCTTCAAACGCTTACAAACTACAGGTAAACTACTTCTATATTGTCTTTAGACCTTTGAACCGCTGTATGCGTAGTGTTCGGGGCACTTTTGAAGCTAAAGTATTATTTTTTCATAGTTATCTTGAGCGCGTAAAGGCCGTGCTAACGCGGATCATGCTAAACAAACCAATCCTCAACGCGAGCGCCGCTTCCGGACTCGTAAAACTAACACATTTGGCTCACATTATGCGATATTTTTTACACTTTAAACATATGTACGTTAAAATGATGTCTCCTTTAATGTATAGATGCTTTTAAACGACTGATCGCTTAACATTTCCATCCAGTTTTACCCTTGCTCTGGGAGACACCGCTGCCGAACAATGAAGCCCTTTCTCACTTTTACGCACACTTTGGTACATCATTGCCATCTATTTCATCGACATGTAACGTGGATTTTGGTGTCCCCCGGTCTTGTGTTGTCCTACCTCGTCGTTGTGTAGGATATTGTATGATTTTTCCATCTCTCTGTGGGAGCTGGGACTTTTGGAGGTTGGCCACACACCCTTTCTTGCACTGCGGACACACGGCCATCTGTTGCCTGTTGTGATGACGCCATGTTTCTGGAGACCCACCCAGGGGCCACACGTTGCTAAACAATCTTCTACTTTGCGCGAATGGCCAACTCTTTTTTTTAATTTAACAGGTATGATATGATGAAGCTGTGAGAAATATTTGGTCCAGGTAGGGGTGGGCGATATTGACAAAAATGTATATCTCGATTTTTTTTTTTTACCAACTCCCGATAACGATATTGTCACAATATCTTTAAAATCAATAATTTTTACACACAATGATCTGTAATGTTTTGCTTGCCAGGCCATCAATGGATGGAGAAAGTGTAGATCAAAATAGAAGCTTTTTACTTGGAAAGTGCTTCACACATCTTTGTTAGACATGCGCTAACATATATTAACATTAAAATCAAATTCAAGTAACACAAAAAGAACAAAAAGGCTAGCTCAATATTTACTGAAATGTACAAATAAAGCAATGATTGGCTTTTTAGGGACACATTAGACGAGCGAGCATCTTTCCTTCTCTAGTTGTAATATGTATTGAAAAATAAAAATGTCAATACAAAAAAGCATATCTTCAAATTGACTTGACGATATTATTGTCTACGATATATTTTGCCCACCCCTAGCTCCAGGCATTAAGATATGATTTATACACATGGCTGAACAGGTGACGAGCACTTGGAATAGCCTACCCGTGGAATTGTAAAAAATGGAATTGTGCACATGTGTTGTGGAAACTGGTCTGAAGACCTTCACTTTTATAGCCAAAACTCTACTTACCACACTGCGCAGTGGAACCACATACCAATGCGCAATTATACTCCACATACCATACAGTATGTACCACGTAGCCTGCAGATAATGTTCCTGCATGAGGCAATAAGCTAAATCTCCTTGGGGCTGCAATAACTGTTATCTACAAAATAAAATGTTTGCCGTTGGTTTAGAGGCAATGGCAACTCAAATGTGGACCCTTCAGCTAAAGGAGGCATACGAGACAAATGCCTCTGCTAGAGATTTGAGAACAATATGGCTTTTCGCATTTTTCTCTTTTAGCAAAGTTAAAACTTAAACTTCTACAAACGTAACTTTTTTTAAAGTTATCTTTGAGATTTTGAATAATATAAATACTTCTTAGATTTTCTCTGCTCTTGTTGGATCAATCAACATATGTCATTGGAAAAGCATAGACTGACCTGCAAATAAAAAACCAGTGGAACAATCGTTAGTGCAGTTAAAAATAGAATGCAGTCTGGGGCACCCTTTTACCTTGTAAAATAAAAGTCCTTTATTGAAGCATAGACAGCCATAACAATTAAACGCATACGCTGGACTTTTATTTCACTTGCCAGTTAGGCCATGTAACATTGAAAGAGATAAGACTATGTCCTTGAAGAGCACCATACCTATTTACTGGCCTAGACTCTTTGAAGACAAGGGTTTGGTCTGTAGAAGTAAACAGCTTGTCATTAGTTGTCAAAGATGAAAATGTATTAAAGCTGCACTAACTGACTTTATTTTTGTATTCATTACGAAAATGTTATCCATGCAGTGCATTGGGATATACATCCTTTAGAAGAAAAAGTAGGGCAGATTTGTGCTGGCGTGACATATATTTTAGATCAAGTTTTGATGAAACAAGGAAGAGAATGTGTTTCGGGTCGCAGATTGTGACCAATCACATCGGACCTCTAGCCCCCACTTTTGTGAGAAATCTACAGGTCCGTTAGCATAGACTGCTGAGTTAGCACAACAAGCAGCGGAGCTAACCTGAAGCTTCCTCGTCTTCGTTACTGCTTACACAGCGAGACAGCCATCCAAAAGAAAGTCCCGTTACTCTGCGCTTCCTGGTTCTATCGTTCTATGGTCACGCCATCCACGTGCAAATCCATGTCCATGTATTATCCATATCGGGAGACGCTAGCTCCGTCCCAACAGTGAGTGTGTGGGAGGGGAGCAGAAAGAGCGAGGCCAGCGAGTCCGTGGCTTCAAAATCCCAAAGTCAGTTAGTGCAGCTTTAAGTTGAATACAGCTTGGTAAAATCTTACAAGATTAACATTTAACTTTGTTACAATAGTATTTTTCTACCTTTTTGGCACAGCTGTGTTCTGGTCATTTGGAGTTCTTAGAAATGTTTCCCATGAGTTTTTTTATTTGATTTCTGGGCCAGTGAGTTAAGCACTCTTTGGAAACTACCTGCTGGACCTATGTGTTATGGGGCATTCAGACCGGATCATGTGTTGTGTACAGTTTCAATGCAAAGTCTATGGTGATGTCCGTTTGGAATTGCATGTGCGTCGGCAGAGGCAGTGTGTACGCGGACTGGATGCATGCAGCAAAAGCAGGAGATACACATTTGTTGAACTTTACCAACTGTACCAAAACCAGAGCTAAACCAGGACTGACAATGGGGGACACATAGCTTGTGAATATGTGCCTCCAGCCTGATTACTCATTCCCCTGTGACTGTAAACAAGTGCTGATAACGTGTTCGCAAAGTACTGGTTCTTTTTTCTATATTAAACTTATGGCACACCTCCGTGAACACATAATGCTGTTAGTGTCTGGAAGGTCTCTGGACACAGACGCTGTACTCTTGGAGAAGAACTTTACACAAAAGCCGCTAGCGTAACCCTGTTAGTATCTAAGCCCGCCCATCACTTCCGCCGTGCTCCATTGCAGGCCCGTACTTCATTTCTGCGTCTGAAATTTAGAAAATGTGCGTCCATTGCGCGTGGGTGCTGCGTTCAAGCGTCTGCGGTCTGAACGCTCCATTATAAAGGTTTGTTTTGTTTGCACAATCCTATTTTATGGCTATGGACTGTAAGAGAACATTTAAAAATTACATTTATTATATTTAACCTTGGTGTCATCAAGTGGGGAAAATAATCCTGTAATTGATCGAGCAGTTTTGTTTTATTGATCATGTTGAATGGATTGGTTCAACACTTCTCACCAAAGTCAAATTAGAGCCAGCGTGTGTCAAAGCAGCTTTCCCGAGTCTTGTTAAGCAGCTCTCATTGGGATCCTGGGACTCCATGCTCATTCGTGTGGAGTTTGACAAACGGTGAATCACCAAATCCATTATTCATGCTCCCAACAGCGACAGTGTAGACGATCACGCGAAAAATACTGACACTCTGCCAGAGCCAGAGGACCTTGTTTCACAGTAGGTTCAAAATTGCATCCTTTAATGGAATGTTTAATGAAACTGGAGATTTGCAGTGACCTGGACGTTTGTTATTTTTAGAAAGACTTTGAGGTAAGTTAAATCTAGTTTTTTATTCTCATGAGAAAGAACTCTCTTCTGTGGTAAATTCTTTGAAATATTGAGTCAAAAGTAGAATTCTAGTTTCATGGTCTGGTAGATTGTCCCTATATGGAATATTGATCAAAATCAGACAGAATTAATCATTTTAGAATGTAGTATAGTTGAGTTTGTAAAATTTTTAGTTAGGATGAGGGCAATAATTTTTGTTGCTAGTGAAGAGCCCCGTTGATATTTAAAAAAAAATATTATTCTAGTTGACTCAACCATTAAAGCCTTGTTTTACCGGCTGCTATAAAAATCTGCCCTCTTTGACGCGCTCCATATTGATTTATTGCTCGTGGTCTCACAGGCTTCAAATGCCCTTATCACCTCACTGTGCTTTGGTGAGACTACTCTTTGAACTCTGGGTCAGGCGGTTCACGGCAGAGCGGCTAATGGCCGCCTTCCTCTGAGTCCCTCTGATTTGTTTAGTCTAGAATCAGTTTAATGTTTCCCATCAATAGAAAACCAGTCTCCATTAAAACTTGCATAACATTTCTTTTTATTTCACCCATTCGCTCCTCTGTTTGTCCTTACGGGCAGCAGAAGATTGTTCTCTGGTAATGCCGCAGGTCTGTTGTCGTAGACACAAGCCATGGCCCACAGCCCCTGGCAATGGCTGCCCCCGATTGTGAGTCTTTATTTTCCTCTAGTCATAAATGGACCGCGCTAATCGTCCTGACACCACTGTCCCACTTATATCCTGGAAGCACCTTTGTAGTTTTCTAACCCAAAACTGGAGAGGAGAACAGAGTTGAAAATTATTATTTGATGGGTAAATTCTGAATGGACTGCAGTCCACAGTGGTGGTTTGGGAGAAATTGTGTTTGTGTTGCTTTTGCAAAGACTTTGTCCGTATGTGATGTATGTGGCTGAAGCTCTTTGGTATAGAAAAGGCAATAGCCAGTATAATAAGAAAAAATGGCCAGTTAATGTTGACACGGTTGTCAAATATGTGTGTTCATTAGTACTATGGAGCTTGTGTGTTGGGTGTACAACAGGAAGGAAATTAGCACTTTATCCTTGTGTAGACTTGTTTTGTTTTGTTTTGAATGAGCAGCTGTATCCTGTTCAGGCCCTCAGGAAACTCATATTTCAATTGTACAAATGGTTAAGCACATTGCACCATTGATTTTATTTCATCATAATAACTTTGTTGAACACACAGCTCCTTCCATATGATGAACGACTGTGTCCTCTCCACTGCGGCATCAATCTCCAGTATTACATGAGTATTACTAACGGTGTTGTTAGATTTGTTACGGTAGTTTCATTATGTCTAAACCCAAAGTAGAACCAGTTCTTTCATCCTTTCAGTTTCTTCATGAGGCTGAAATGTGACAATCTGTAAACCGGACATCTACTGTAAGATGACGGCATTATCATCAAAATGCTCTTTATGGGAATTTATTTTGCAAAATGAGGCTGGCTCTTAAGCTGGAGCTCTGTCCCACTACAGGAGCAATGATGAGGGTGATGAATGGCCATTCACAGAAGTAGATTTTATTTGACACAAGAACAGGGAAAATGTTAGTGTACCAGTCATTAACTGAGGCTCCACTAAGTCAAGGTTTGAATCGTTGTTTTGGCTGTCCATGCAATTAGTGATTAGTCACAAGTGAATTGAGACATCAACATTTTTGTTGTGCCGCTGAGCAGATATTTTGAATAAGCAGCTTTTGATACTTTATTGAGCACGCTCTAAATGTTCAAAATAAGAATCCTTTTAATTGCCATTGTAAATAACAGGACGTCACAAACTAGGAATTTGCTTTGTCTCAAGGTGCAAACTAGTTATAGGAGTGAAATATTAGGGCTTATTCTCACTGAACAATTAGGATGAAGAAAGAGCTTGAGCAGCGAGCTTTTCAGTGATTATTATAAGGTGGTAAAATCCGGTTCCTGACTTAAGCACATGTTCAGTTATCAGTCCACTGAAAGTTGGAATTGTTGAAATTGAGTTTCGTGTGACTCATGGAGCCTCCTCTTCACTTCCCCCTCACACAGAGAAGTCTGTGTGAGCCAGAGTCTGGCAGCTTCTGGAAATGTCTCTCACTGCTCATCTTAAGAATGCTTTAGAGCAAAATATGGTGCACTTCTGCCAACTTTGATACAAACGTTTGTTAGAGCCATAATTTGGTTATTAAAAAGTGTAAAGTCTAAAATTAGTAATACAATTTAAAATCATTATTTAAAAACATCCTGAAATTCATTATTTACATACTATAATTTTAAAATGCAAGTCTTAACATTAATTGTTTAGAGCTGGGACAGCTGCTGGGAACTTGTGTAATGAGGGTCACTGACATGGTTTTTGGCCGCACACAGACGCGCTGACTATTTGATTTTGAACAATCAACGATTGGAAATGGATCTACGGCTACATGTTGCTTTCGATGTTTTAAGTCAGAAAGCGGAAGCCAACACTAATCAGGTGTTTGTTTTGGTTCTGGTTTAGTCAGCTGACTCTTCACTTTAGCTGTCTCTCTTGACAGTAGCAGCCATGGGATGTCCACCTTTTTGACTGCATTTGGATGTTAATCTTTCTAGAAGCACTGTTCCCACAGTCTCTGCGCACACATTAAAACGAAAGGAACCTTTTATTAAATGAAGGGCATTTTTAACTCAATTTTGAAATTTAAATATCAATATAAATATCCGACTTTTTGTCAACATGGTGGCAGCTGCTTAGCCATTGGTGTATTGCAGCCATTCCCAAAGTCAGTAACACCGCGGCCCCCTTGAAAATGTGACGTAATAACCAAGAAGACAACGTTAAAAATAGGTTCTTCTTATTTTATTTTGGGGAAATAGCCTCTGCTACAAACATGTAAATGACGCACCCCACCTTGTTTCACAATAATGATTACAGTTTGATTATTCAAGTCAAATAATTAACTCAAATATTTTAATTTCACAAACAAAATATTATTAATTTAAGATAATAATAATATAAGATAAGAATTCCTTTTATTCGTCCCACAGTGGGGAAATTTCAATGTTGCAGCGCACATGTAGGACAGTAGTAAGAGCACACAGGGATCACACACAATATATATTTAACATACACTCTCCTCAGGCAGGAGGCTGCGGCCCATCAGGACTAGAACCTCCCGCCACAAGAACAGTTTCTTCCCCTCTGCTGTTGGACTCTTGAACACTTCCTAACCTGTCCCCCCCGTCCTCTAGAAGTCCCCTACTGCTCTTTATAAAGTCACTTTACTTCACTGTACTGCTGTCACCTTACATTGTGTGCACCATGTGCACCTTGTAACTCTATTTTAAATGTATTCCTTAAAAGTGCTTTTTATTCTTTATTTTTCATTATGCCTTCTCTACCATTACCTCTTTCTGACTGCACTGAGCCAAAGCAATTTCCAAGTCTGTGACTTCCTGTTACTTACGTGGCAATAAAAATGATTCTGATTCTGATAATTATGTTTACAAAAAATGGACCCCACTTTGCGAGACACTGTTGTATTGCATAGCACACTTGTCTAAACTTGTAGAACAAGTACAGTAGAGCAAAGTGTTTGCTCTCCTGTATTGCTCTATTAAATCATTGTTTCACTTTTGTGTTTTCTGAGTTTAAGTTGCACACCATAATAAATGTGACTTTAGTGTTGAGCAGTCCAATTCTCATTTTTTGTAATGCCTATAATACAAGGGATATGAATATCCCTCATATTATGCAATATTCAATATATCGCAGAATCTCATAGCAATTCTTGCTGTATCGCAATAATAATGTTGTCAAATATATCTATACTATTGAATTGTCACAAGTAAACGAGTGATAAAAGTAAAGTGGACTGTACGCTGTGTAAGGTAAAACTGTCACATGGTGGGTCCAAAACAAACTTGTAAAACACCAGCAACATCTGGAAACTCACCACCACACAGAGCATAACACGTGATCTCCATGGCAACAAAGCTGTTTGTTGTCGTTACGCTAATGTAAATTACAAATGTGGGTGTCAGTTCCAGTATCGGGTCCTATGGTATCGGTGCATCCCCAATCAAATTAAAGTGCTCGTTAATTAATCGGTTTAAAAAAACTATCGCTGCATCCCTATTTTTAATCGTTGGGCCGACTGTCTCCTCTTTTTGTCTGTTTCACATTAAATTTCTGACACGGCTCCAGGTGGTTAAAGCTATGAAACCCATACGTCCGTTTTATTGTCCAATGTGAAACAAATGAAAACGACGCGTCTCAATACTCGGCCAGAATTTCTCATCTCCGGTGTTGTTGTTTACAGAGAGATGGCTGCGATCCGTAAGAAGCTGGTGATTGTGGGCGATGGTGCGTGTGGGAAAACCTGCTTGTTGATAGTCTTCAGTAAAGACCAGTTTCCTGAAGTGTATGTGCCCACGGTGTTCGAGAACTATGTCGCCGACATCGAGGTGGATTCAAAACAGGTGAGTTCAGGACTTTCTCTGCTTATCAAACTTGTAGTTAGATTTTTTATTTTGCTTCTAAAACCTCCTTTTAGGGCTTGGTGATATATCATTAAATATTGTATAAAGTTTGTATTTCACTTTTGCTGCTTTGCTTGTTTGCCTTCTCTGTGCTGTGCTCGTCCCCGCCTCCTTTTGCTCCCCCTCCCATTGTGTGTGTCTCATTCATCGTGGCGGTGCCCACTTAGTTAGCAACACTGACTGTAAACACGCTGGAAGGAAACTATATTGCCTAAAAAAGGCAGAGTGTAGAATATGACGGAAGCGCAGGTGGTGTAGCGTAACATGGCACCTTTAGTCGTCATTGAACACTGGCTTTACACCAGAGACGGTAAACTTTATACACATCTGAAAACAAAACACAAATGGAGATTACTGTGTCGATATTATTTTGCAATACAAGTACCCCTGCAACTGTACACTACAAAGAGTGGCTGAATTGGAACATACAGGTTACATACTAGTTCAGTAATCAGGGATATTTTATTTTAAATTGTCATTTTTGAAAGAAGGTAATATAGCATTCATTTTCCAGTTAAACAGATTTTTTGGTGAACAAGAAATTAAAACTAATATACAAAAGCACATACTGAACTGGGTTCCTCTTTCAGGTTCAATAAAGAGTTTTTTTCCAGACTGAATTAAAAAGACCCAATTGTAGAACTGAATTCTTATTTGAGTCTTATCACTGAAAACATCTGAATCCATCCTTACGATTTGATTTGCAGACTGCTCTTTAAGGCTTTGGCTTCTCCAGTTTGTATCACAGCTTTCTGGGTTGGAGGAATTCTGGGAGATATGGTCCCTTTGGTCTTTCGCCCTCAGTTGTATCCCAGTCCTCTCTGGACGTTTGAACCGCTTTCGTTTCTTTATTTATTTCAAGCTCAGCAGAGACCGTTTTTTTTCTAGGACAAGAGGGTTCAATCAATCAAATTTTATTTATAAAGCGCTTTTCATACAAAAAGTGTAACACAAAGTGCTTTACAGTTGAGCTAAAGAGCCTTCCTGATAGAACTCTCATCTTAGAAGTATCTACTCTAATACTACTGCTATTCCTATTATACCAAGTTACCATGGCGTCACAGATTTAGATGTAGTCACATATATTTTTTTATACCAGAAAAAAAATCCAATTCTAGTATATCCGGCTGTGTCTGCAAGTTTGTGATTGTGTGTGTGTGTTGCACAGGTGGAGCTGGCCCTCTGGGACACAGCCGGGCAGGAGGACTATGATCGACTCCGGCCTCTGTCGTATCCAGACACTGATGTCATCCTCATGTGTTTCTCCATAGACAGCCCCGACAGTCTGGGTAAGACCCTCTGCTTTCACATCATTTCTCTAGCCCCGCCCCCTCTCTGGTGCTCTGCTGTGTCAGGGTCGATTGTCAGAGGAAGAGTGCTGCTATCTCCATATTGTTTGACAGTCTTTTGAAGAGAAACTACTTCTTTACATTCTTAATTATGTATATGCTGTTACTTCTAAGATGTGTTTTACATTGAGGATGGGGGATCGGGGTCAGATTCTAAGACTGGAGTTGGACCTTGAGGGCTTTTAGAAAAGAGTGTAGGGAAACTGAATGGTTTAGCAGTAGCAAGCGCAACTGTTATGATCCGTGTAATCATCAAGAAATGCACCATGACATCACATGAAACGCATGTCCTGCCTCAGCTGTTACCAGAGAACTTCTCTCTGATAATGCAATAAACTTGTTATTTTCCACTTTTCGTAGTCTGGTTAGTGTGAGGCGTTTCCTGTCCATGAGTCAGCACTGCAGAAGTGGGAAGTGAGGCCTCTGATGTCTCCACGCACTATTGAAACACTTGTGTCACAGTGTCCTTGTATGAAGTTGATGTGATTGTTCCAAAGGCTTTGTACAGATTCTGCTGATGGAGCTGTCTATGTATAAGCTTTTAAGTCTTACAATCACAGTTGTTCAAAAGGAAATGGCTCAAATCATTTTTTGCCTATTCTTGCAGTTTGATGAAGGGATTCCCAGATAAGACACGTTAGCTTGGAGGCTTTTGTTGACTCTGATAAAACAAAGGAAGGCATTGGGGGAACTGATTGTTGTTCGTGAGATGTAGGTTTGGCCCATCACAGATGGGCAGTCAGCTCACCACATTGAACAGAGTAAACTAGAGAGTTGTAGTAACACTGCAGAGCCACCCTTTTTGTAATGAGGAATAACATTGTATTACATTTGTCGGCTTTTGTCTTTGTACAGAAAACATCCCTGAGAAGTGGACTCCGGAGGTAAAACACTTCTGTCCAAACGTTCCTATTATACTGGTTGGAAACAAAAAGGACCTCCGCAACGACGAGCACACGCGCAGAGAGCTGGCCAAAATGAAACAGGTACATACGCATGAGTCAGTTTTTCACAGCAACATTTCAAAGTATTAGTTTGACAAAAACGTTCCCATAAAAGCGGTCAAGTATTCTAAATCTGGGCATTTAAGGGGAAAAAAAACCAGTGATTGATATTATCCATCCATCCATTTTCCTCCCCTTAATCCATTTCGGGGGGGGGGGGGGGGGGGGGCCTTTATTAAGGCCTTTATTTTCTGTTTTTCTATGACACAAAATAAATTAATGAGTAATACTCAAAATAGGGTTCATGAAAAGGAGTTTATCTTTTTGGAGTATCATGTTTTAACGTCATCAACTTGATTTGACTGTTGAGGGTCACTTTTACCACATCCAATAAGATTGAATTCTTTATGTGCATAGTTTTCTCATTTCCTTGTTTGTTAGATTAGATTGGGAAGATTAGCATCATCTTATCTTTCTATAAATACGTTATAATAAATCTATGCTTCGATAAATTTCACAGTGGTTTGCAAATAAGCTGTGGTGCCTAACCCTTCATAAATGTTTTGTGCAGTTTGCCCCTATAGAATAATTTTGCAAAAGTGTTCTTTATTAGTATACATACTAAGAGAACACTTAGTATGTATACTAATACTAAGTACAGTCCTTTGAGTCACTATTTGATGCTTTGGGCTGAGTTTGGATGAGTGACTGGTCTGCTCTTAACTTCTGTCTGACGAAGCGAATATATATTATTTGGGTCAAGTTTCAAGAGCTCATGTTTGTGATTAATTGGTAAAAACAATTGTATCCATTTCTGGGCTTAATTCTAACACTGGCGTCATTTTGCCCCACAGGAGCCAGTGAAGCCAGAGGAGGGCCGAGAAATGGCCAATCGCATCCAGGCGTTCGGTTACATGGAGTGCTCGGCCAAAACAAAGGACGGCGTGCGGGATGTGTTCGAGATGGCCACCAGGGCGGCGCTGACAGCCCGCAGAGGCAAGAAGAGCAACAAATGTGCGCTCCTCTAAACGCCGCACACGGGGCCACTTGGTTGGACTGTTTTCACCCGGGTTCAGACCTGGGACTAGGGCTTCTACTGGGGTACAACACGCTGCATATGGCTCGACTGGACTGATGCGACGGAAGTAGAGGGACACATTCACTCAGGTCAAATGAGGAGCCTATCTAGGAACTTTATGCTTAAGACATTTGACAATCTGGACCAAAAGCACCTTTACACGTGCATAAGAATAAAATATACAAGCCCAAACTTGAACGAAAAGATTGTAAGTATTTGTCAGGCCAGCATGTTTTTTATCTCCATCCTCGCGTCCGAAAAATGCTCCGCCGTTGACACGAGTGAATCCCAACCTCTACTCGCGAAGACACTGGTGCTTCTCTTAATCTTCAAAACCAGGACTCGACCCAAGGAGGCGGAACACATCTGCGTTAAACCAGGATACAAAGACTTGTTTAAATAAATAAAAAAGAAAGAAATCTAAGACTTTAAAAAACAATCTAATTATTCCAAGTGACGTGAGTGGACTGATGCATGTTTGCGACACCAGAAGTGGCAAGTCAAGCAGTGGTCGGTATTTTTCAACCCCAAAACCAATGAACAAAAGGAAGATTTCAGCTAGGGCAGTTTCTATCGGAAATGTGTTAGGAGTGATCAAAATTTCAATAGGAAGAAAAGGGGGTCTTCTTTTGTGAAACGTCTTTAGTGGTTGTGTAAGCCACGAAAGTAAAGTATATGCCTTGTATCAGTATTTGGTGGAGGGATATAGAAAAAATATCTTGAAATTGCATGTATTTTAAGCTGCCTTATGTCATTTCATTGGCCTCGAGAATCTATCTTTGCCTTGTCCTTCTGATTTCACGCCTTTAATTATGGGGGAGAGTTTTTTTTTTTCCTCACTTTGAATAAGTTTAACATGTATCACTCAGTATTTAAAAATAAGAGGTAGTTCTGTGTCCGCTCGAGGCTACTTTCTGCTCTTACCGGGCCTTGTTTTTTCCCCTCCCCAGCGAGCTAATATTGTGATGAATCGCCTCCACCTGTAAATCAGACCTGCCAAATGCTGTAATATCTGGAATGTGCTGGTTCAAGTTCTGTGATTTGAAAAACATTGGCAAAAAAAAAATAACTGTACAAATTTGTTTTTAAGTTTTATTGTATTTTTAAATTTGTGAAATTGAGAAAAATACAGCTGTATGCAAAATGTAAATAACGACGCACACAAGGGGTTCGTATTTGTAAACTAGCTTCAGTTTGTGTAATAAATGACTTTGTATTATAAAAGTGGTGTGTGGTTTTGTTGTGGTTAGAGCAGCACAAATTAATGAATGATTATTTGGTGGGAGAACAGGTGGGCAACATAAATATTCTTGTTTTAGACTTGTTACTGCATTTCTTCATACAAAAACCTTCATAAATCATCCTTTGAAGAAATGAAATGGTGTTTGGTCACATTTATAAAGCACTGGAGGAGCTCATTTAAATACACAATTGAAAGCAACAATGCCTTCATGATTAAAATGGGTGTATTTCACAAAGTTGGTCGTTTTAATAAAAGTAAAGGTGCACTTTATTAATCCCCGTAGGGCAATTGTTTCGTCCTTATAAATCAGTGAGAAATACAGTCTCGTACAGCTAATAAAGTGTTTTTACATTTTAAAAGCTACATTATTTCACAAATCACTAATAGTAAGTAATCATTATTCCTATAACCTTTCACAGACCATGGCACTTTACAATTGTGGGCTTTTGTCTCTCACTCCACAGAGATGGGAGTGGGGTCGCCAAACAGAAGGGGCATACCAGACCTATTCTACATGTTTTTAGTGGTCGGAGAAACCTACGCAGACATACAATACAATTTATTCTTGTATTGCCCTATATGACAACAGAAGTCATCTCAGAGGACTTAACAAAACCATCGAAATCACCAACACAGATCAGAGAATCAACAGTTAAAACACTAAAAGAATATAGAACACATGTTGTAGAATGTTAGTGTCCTCGATCATCACCACATCCTTCAAGTTGGACACTAACTGTCCAACAGACCCTCCTGCATCCTAGGTAGAACATGCAAACTCCACCCAGGACCTTCTTGCTTTGAAGCATGATTTCTATCCACTGCCAGAGCTCCAGCAACATATTTCGAACCTGAAGAATCCTTATCCATGTTTCCAAGCGCCGCTCTGCCTCGACTGGAGTGAGTGGGCTGAGGCTCTGTGGGATGAAACACTGTTGCATAACTGCAGAGGAGTCCGAATCACAAGCAGAGCACAGAAAATACACAATCCTGTATTTTTGTGTGCAGAGGTTATATTTTAGAACTTCACATGGTTTGTTTCAGAGGTCCTCAAAGGCCGAACTAAGTAGGAGCACACCAGACTCCACCCATGTTCTTAAAACTTGCAGTTACACTGGCCATTTTCTCAAGGCAATTCATCCAGAGGGAAAACAAGACGGATGATCCAAAGTCCAGTAGTTATTGCTGGAGCGCTACAGCGCCAATAAATGCCATTCTGAATTGTAAATGATTGAGTCTTTTACTGGAATTGGGATGATATAAATGTTGAAATTATTCAATAGAATATTTATTTAGCTAAATCTGTTGTTTGAGCTTTATATAACAGGTTGTGAATGATATCCTTGAATCTGAGACATCCCAATATAATCAGCCTAAAGACAAACTATGATTTTTGGTAACATGACATCATTAGTCTAGATTATTCTGAAAGCCACTTCATTACAAAGTGTTTTTGTTTTTCCTGATACAGTTCCAAACAGAAAAAAAAGGCAGGGGCTTGTGAATCACAGACATTTTAGTGGGTAATTAGTTAATGCTTTAGACCACTTGTGGTAAAATTGAGAGGAAATTGATCCCAAAAATTCTATTTTGGACAAGCATCTGCTTCTAAGTTTGTTTTCTTGCTCCAGGCGGACGAAAGGATATGAACATGTAAACTTAGTGCACACTTGAAAGGGATTCTTGCTTTGTTCTAACAATGAGAAGAAAAATGTTGTCTTAAGAACATTATGTTTGTGTTCCATTCCTACATGTTATACATGAATAAACTGTAATCCATCATTTGACAGCACCGCAGCAACTTGACGTGCATCATTGAATAGTAATGCTGCTTTTTGTGAGTGAAATTGTTTTCTGACTTTTATCAACTTTGAAATTCTACATTGTTGACGCGCCGCGTTGAAGAAAGTGTTCAGGATTCAGCGGCTCATGTCCATGTTTTTTTTTACCTGTTTCTATCGATGGGTTTTAGATTAATGTCCCCGCTTGTAGAAAACTTACTGTAAAATAAACGAAAACCTTGATAAACAATTAGTGCAGCGTCCTTAAAATCATAAACACGGTGAGTGGACGGACGCACAGACCTAAACTAGATCTACACAAAGTCCCTCAGAGAAGCTCTAAAAGTCGGTGTTTGTGCAGCTGCAGGGCGCTGGTCCTCCCCGGCTCTGCGCCTTCTCTCCGGGCTCTTGTCCTCCGCAGATCCGCTGCTGTCACTGCGCTGCGGGTCAATGCAGAATAAAGAGCGCTCTGGTCCCTCTACTGGATCAGCTGCAGCCTTTATATACCGCTCTATTTTTAGCAGTGCGACAACCAACTATTTTTAACCAATATGAGCTCATCCCCGGCGCGCTCCAGCCACTCACGGCCGAGCTGTTTGAATACACGAACCAATGGGAGGAGAGGAAAGGGAAGGGGGCGGGATCTGCAAGGGAAGGGTTGTCAATGAAAAAAGAGCTGAAAATAAGTTTTAAAAAGTTTAATTGCACGAGCTTTACCAAGAGTCGACCACATGTAAAGATTTTTATTGTAAAGAGTTCACTGTAAGCATGGGGCATTTAGTGGAAGTCTTGCATAACAAACTACAAACGAATGTTATTCCTATCAATTACACACTTATCATAGACTGTAAATATGATATACGTATACATTCACCAATAATAGCATAGCATCATATTATTAAAGATAGCCATATAGTACACAAAAAAGTAACAATTATGAAATAAAAATAACACAATTAGATTTTAGGGGTAATTATTTCTTTACCCCTCACAGACAGACAGACAGACAGACAGACAGACAGACGGACAGACAGACACACACACACACACACACACACACACACACCCACACACACACACTGACTCATGCACACCCCCGGCACCACGTTTCCCAGGGTCTATTTTAGTCCTTGACACCATCCTTTTATCAGGCCGGACTGATGACACACGGGACTTTTTAAAGAAACTTGCTCTGACTTTCCTCATCAGATCAGCGCTGAGGTGTGACATGCGCGCGCCTGCTCTCCGCGCTCCCGTTTCCTTCCAACACATCACACCGGAGCGCGCATGTAGGATCCCTGCCATAGACTGTAAATATTAGATCCTAGCCTTCCACATACAGGCCTTTCCCTTTCCGTGATTAGGACCAAGGACGCAGTGGTGTTAGATATGTAAATGATTTACAAAAAGTGGCTTTATCTGTTGTAATAGTGATTGAAATTAAACGTATTTCCAACATGAGGAAATAAGACATTTCTTACAATAGTGGGTTAAGGAGCTTATAGTCTTTGAGTAAAATTCTAATAAATCCCTCAGAAGCACATTATATTATCCTATAATGCTGCGCGCTCGTTCAACATGACGCTCCAAACCAAATATCTCTAGTATCTTACTGCCCTCTAGTGGAACAAATATCTTATTGCACTTACAAACATATATTGTTTTAAGATATTAATCTTATCCGGGGTCCTGGGACAGCAGTTTGAGCAAATTAAAGTTTTCTTATAACGTAAAGGTTATGCTTTATCGTCCCCTGTAGGGATGTTTCCTCTGCATTACACCAATGTCACAAGGACAGCGTTCAGAGGCAGTGGTCGCCACAGTGCAGCGCCAGATGTTTATGTATTTGTATTTGTTTATTTTATTGGGAGAGTGTGTGGTACCGAAAGGCAGTGCTATAAATACACCGCATTGTGGCATTGGGCAATTTTCCATCTGTCATCACACGTTCGCACACAAACACCATTCATCCTGAACACGTTACGCACATAGAAACGCAGAGCAAAATAAATAAAACGTATTATTATTATTATCATTATCATCATCATTATTGTCATTATATTCAAATGTATATAAAGCTGTAACCTTCTAACCACATTTTCTTTTTACTTTTTCATAAAATCTTTGTAACTAGAGAGGAGGTATATAGATCCATGAGATGTCTGTATCATGGATCTATAATAATAATATCCATGGTATGATTATTATTCAAATCAACTTCCTTGTACACAACGCTACGTCACTTCCTGCGTCAGTCTGTGGCTGGTGCACGGGGCTAAAGCTATGCCTGGAAAATGCAAGTTTCAGGACGCGTGGCTGGAGAAGGACATGTACCGGGACTGGCTGATGCGGGACGTGCACGACATCCACTCCGCGCTGTGCCGGGCCTGCTGCAAGTTCATCAAGCTGCAGACGATGGGCGAGGCGGCTCTCACGTCTCATGCGGGCGGAGCAGGGCACAAAGCTGCTGTCTGCAAACTGCAAGGTACGGGACAAGCCACACGGTCCCGGCTGTTTTGTCTGATTTTACGGTGTGAATAAAGCTGGGGTACCTGACATCCACTCCACAAACACATCAACCAAGTTGCGCAACATACACATCCATGTAACTAGTTTCTCGCTCACAACAAGACAGTTTCCCATGTGGGTTTACCGCGGTAAAGTGGCCCTGCATTTCGTCGGGAGCGGTAAAGAGGTCCGCACTTTGAATGCGGTTGGCTCTTTTATGCTGTTACTTACGGTAAATGTGGAAAGGGAAGCCGTGACGACGAGAAAGCTAAATGCTTTATCTTTTAAAAAATCATTAAAAAAGAACAAAAAGAGGTTTGCGAATACTTTCATTGCCCACTTGTTCAATAAGATGCTCTCTACCACTGTGTAAAATATCATTCACTTTTACTGTAGAAATCCAGAGAAAATGGGGGTCAAAGTGTGCACAAGTGGTCCCAAAAGCACTTTTTAAAAATCATTTTTAAAAAAACTAAAGTTCCCTGACTACTTTCACTGCACATTTGTTCACTGGGATGCCCTTTACCACTGTGTAAAATATCATTCACTTTTACTGTAGAAATCCAGAGAAAATGGGGGTCAAAGTGTGCCATTTTGGTCCCAAAAGCACTTTTTAAAATTCATTTTAAAAAAATCTAAAAAAGTTCCCTCACTACTTTCACTGCACACTTGTTCACCAGGATGCCCTCTACCACTGTGTAAAATATCATTCACTTTTACTGTAGAAATCCAGAGAAAATGGGGGTCAAAGTGTGCACAAGTGGTCCCAAAAGCACTTTTTAAAATTAATTTTTAAAAAAAACTAAAAAAGTTCCCTGACTACTTTCACTGCACACTTGTTCACCAGGATGCCCTCTACCACTGTGTACAATATCATTTACTTTTACTGTAGAAATCCAGAGAAAATGGGGGTCAAAGTGTGCCATTTTGGTCCCAAAAGCACTTTTTAAAAATCATTTTAAAAAAATCTAAAAAAGTTCCCTCACTACTTTCACTGCATACTTGTTCACTGGGATGCCCTCTACCACTGTGTAAAATATCATTCACTTTTACTGTAGAAATCCAGAGAAAATGGGGGTCAAAGTGTGCCATTTTGGTCCCAAAAGCACTTTTTAAAATTCATTTTAAAAAAATCTAAAAAAGTTCCCTGACTGATTTCACTGCACACTTGTTCAACAGGATGCCCTCTACCACTATGTAAAATATCATTCACTTTTACTGTAGAAATCCAGAGAAAATGGGGGTCAAAGTGTGCCATTTTGGGCCCAAAATCTCCCCTTCCTATTTCATGTGTTTTCACTGTTTCCCTACTTTGTTGTGTGACATGTGTTCTACAATGCATTAAAAGGCAGACATGAGGGGATGTCCCGAGGTGTGTTTCTCCCCCACGTCCGACCAACTCTATGTGTATTTATTTAATTATTTTCGGTGCTACTCTAATGTGATCCATTAATAGACAGGAGATGGGGGGACCAAAATAGTGCGTTTGGTATATTTTACACAGTGGTAGAGGGCATCCTGGTGAACAAGTGTGCAGTGAAATCAGTCAGGGAACTTTTTTAGATTTTTTTAAAATGAATTTTAAAAAGTGCTTTTGGGACCAAAATGGCACACTTTGACCCCCATTTTCTCTGGATTTCTACAGTAAAAGTAAATGATATTGTACACAGTGGTAGAGGGCATCCTGGTGAACAAGTGTGCAGTGAAAGTAGTCTGGGAACTTTTTTAGATTTTTTTAAAATGATTTTTAAAAAGTGCTTTTGGGACCACTTGTGCACACTTTGACCCCCATTTTCTCTGGATTTCTACAGTAAAAGTGAACTAGAAACTTGCAATGGCTGAAGCCATTGCGATTGACTGCGGAACAGATCTAATGTGGAAATCTGCTAAAAAAAATCCTTGAAATCCTTTAAAAGGCCTTGAAACTGTTAAAATACTTGATAGATATTTGAAACTCCTGAAGTCCTTGAAATTGTTGAAACCTTTAAACTCCTGAAATCCTTGAAACTGTTGAAACATTGAAACTCCTGAAATCCTTGAAACTTTTTTTAAACCTGGAAACTGTTGAAAGTGTGGAAACTCCTGAAATCCTTGAACCTCCTGATATCCTTGAAACTGGTTAAATTCTTAAACAGTTGAAATCCTTGAAACTACTGAATGTATTGAAAGTGTCCTTGAAACTGAAAAATCCCCTCACCGCTGAAACAATTTGGTTCCTGTAACTAAGGAAACCTGGTCTGTGGTCATTATCTGGTGGTGGTCTGAGTCTTCGTTTGGGTCTTGGTCTGGTGGTATAATGCAACCTATTAGGTTGCATTATACTGGTTTACATGGAAAAATCCCTATTAGGTTGCATTATACTGGTTTACATGGAAAAATCCCTATTAGGTTGCATTATACTGGTTTACATGGAAAAATCCCTATTAAGTTGCATTATACTGGTTTACATGGAAAAATCTCTATTAAGTTGCATTATACTGGTTTACATGGAAAAATCCCTATTAGGTTGCATTATACTGGTTTACATGTACAAATCCCTATTAAGTTGCTTTATACTGGTTTACATGTAAAAACCCCTATTAGGTTACATTATAGTGGTTTACATGTAAAAATCCTTATTAAGTTGCATTATACTGGTTTACATGTAAAAACCCCTATTAAGTTCCATTATACTGGTTTACATGTAAAAACCCCTATTAAGTTCCATTATACTGGTTTACATGTAAAAACCCTATTAAGTTGCATTATACTGGTTTACATGGAAAAATCCCTATTAAGTTGCATAATACTGGTTTACATGGAAAAATCCCCATTAAGTTGCATTATACTGGTTTACATGAAAAAAACCCTATTAAGTTGCATTATACTGGTTTACAAGGAAAAATCCCTATTAAGTTGCATTATACTGGTTTACATGGAAAAATCCCTATTAAGTTGCATAATACTGGTTTACATGGAAAAATCCCCATTAAGTTGCATTATACTGGTTTACATGTAAAAAACCCTATTAAGTTGCATTATACTGGTTTACATGGAAAAATCCCTATTAAGTTGCATTGTACTGGTTTACATGGAAAAAACCCTATTAAGTTGCATTATACTGGTTTACATGGAAAAAACCCTATTAAGTTGCATTATACTGGTTTACATGGAAAAAACCCTATTAAGTTGCATTATACTGGTTTACATGTAAAAACCCCTATTAAGTTGCATTATACTGGTTTACATGGAAAAATCCCCATTAAGTTGCATTATACTGGTTTACATGAAAAAAAACCCTATTAAGTTGCATTATACTGGTTTACATGAAAAAACCCTATTAAGTTGCATTATACTGGTTTACATGGAAAAATCCCTATTAGGTTGCATGATTACACTGAAGTCCTTGAAACTGCTGAAGTCCTTGAAACTGCTGAAGTCCTTGAAACTGTTGAAGTCCTTGAAACTCTTGAAATCTTGAAACTGCTGAAATCCTTGAAACTGTTGAATCCTTGAAACTGTTGAATCATTGAAACTGTAGAAATGTCTGAAAGAGCTGAAGTCCTATTAAAATGCATGGGCCTATTAAAATGCATTGCAGAATTCTCAATGCAGATTTTTGTCCGATTGCGGAAAAACCGGAAATCGCTGAAGTCCCAAAAGTAATAGCAATAATCTCCCAAACATGTGGAACGTTTTGATGTATAACTTGTGGAAATTGTTGAAAATGTGAAAGCTGTGAAACGTGTCAAAAAAAATGACGGAATAAAGAAATACAAAACCAATGGTTGACTGCGGAAGGTTCCGCAGTCAATCAATGATATTTTACACAGTGGTAGAGGGCATCCTGGTGAACAAGTGTGCAGTGAAAGCAGTCCGGGAACTTTTTTCGATTTTTTTAAAATGAATTTTAAAAAGTGCTTTTGGGACCAAAATGGCACATTTTGACCCCCATTTTCTCAGAATTTCTAGAGTAAAAATGAATGATATTTTACACAGTGGTAAAGAGCATCTTATTGAAGAAGTGTGCAGTGAAAGTATTCTCAAACCTCTTTTTGTTCTTTTTTAATGATTTTTTAAAAGATATAGCATTTTGCTTTCTCGTCGTCACGGCTTCCCTTTCCACATTTACCGTAAGTAACAGCATAAAAGAGCCAACCGCTTTCAAAGTGCGGACCTCTTTACCGCTCGCGACGAAATGCAGGGCCACTTTACCGCGGTGTGGGTTTGGTGCTGTCATCTTTCGATCAGCTGTTTCAGACTGAAAAGTGAGAAAGAGGACCACCTTCACTCTGCCGCTCAACTCTCAGCCCAAAGAGGCAAATAGAGACTCACAGGGCCCCTTTTCATTTTTATTAGTGTAACTAGGATTGTGTTAATGAAAATGAACATTTCTTTAAGTGCAAGTTTTGTCCCTGGGCAAGGTATAAAATAAGCAGAGGATGTTTCCAACAAGACCATGACAGTCTGTTGTGGTCTGATTTGTTTACAAAATGTTACTTTTACCAAACTCTTTTTAATTGGGACAGACTTAATGTATTTATCATGAAAATACTTGGTCCTGGGACCTATGGCGGTGGAGGTGTTGCTGTGTTAACGATATAAATAAATGATAAAGGGCCAGCCTGTGAAAAGCAAAATTGTTTCGCATGATGCATGTGTAACATTAAATGTACAAGGTTGGTCCCTCAAACGTTCGTTGTTAGTCAGATTTGATGATACTATGTCATCCCTATGTTAGTGTATATTATAATGCTGTCGTCTCGTCACACAACATTTACAGGAAAAAGGCTTGATACTCAATACCAATTACAATCTTAAAGATGCCATTTTTAACATTATCAATCCTGGGTTCTCACAAGAATTTTTAGCGGCATTTTTCAAACCGATCTAAACCATGTCTCAACCAGCAGGGCAGAGTCACCGAACTGATGCCACAACACACATATGCAGCTATTCGAGTTGACGTACGGCACCTTTGACTTTGCATGTAAACCTGCTGCACCCTCTGGTGGGAATGCATCTTAAGGGAGTTTAATCCTGGGGTCAATGTTTAACTTCTCTCCAAGTTGAGTAAGAACAACCCGTTTTTCTTTTCCAGCACAGTCCTTGTACATGTCTCAAAGCTCTCAAAATATCAAAAAGTCACCAGGAGATGAAGGAACTACCCCCCCATACCTGCCATGTGAAAGTGAGTTCAAATGTTACTTTTTTATAAACAAAAACAAAACAAACACAACAAGGAAAAACTAATATTACTCTATTTATTTTGATGGGTTTTCTCCCAATCAATGCAGCTGGACATATAAATGGCAGCATAGCACAGGTAAAAACTTCAGAAATTAGAGGAAAATAATTTTTCTGAATTTTTGTTAAATGTTTTTATTTTTCTCAGGTTAAAAGAACAATTTGGCCAGAGGAGGAGAAACGCAGACCAGGGCTTTCACAGGTGAGATTGAAGTTGCTTACGACCCTTGTGTTATCCCCGGGTCAAACTTACCCGCCACAGTGATTTGAAAGTTAAGAAAGACCTTATTTTTTCAAGATGAATTTTGATGACTTCGTCCTTACAGGACGGGCTCTGGGTAATGCAGATTCTTTTAGACCCTGGCGGGTCGTTTTGACCCGAGGATACACCTTTCTACACATTATACAGGACTAGATTTATAACACTATTACTTTTATTTCCACCTCCAGTGATTCTTCAGAATAAAGATATAAAACGAGATGGTTCATCTCAAGGGGGTATTCCTCTTATTGATAATACTACAAAACTGTGAATAAATGAATGAAATGGTCTTTTATTAATGTTTATTTATGTAGCGCATTTTACAGACCAAGGTCACCCAAAGTGCTTCACAATGTCCAGAGTTTTAGATATTGTTATTATTCCACACACGGTGATGACGGAAGCGAGACGCTGAACACACTGATGCATCAAAGCCCCAATCAACACCATCCATTCACTCTCTCATTATATTCATACCTATTGTGCATGTTTTTAATGGTCGGGAAAACGGGAGCACCTGGAGGAAACCTATGCAGACCCGGGGAGAACATGCAAATTCCATTTAGAAAGGCCCTGTTACGAACTTCTTGCTGAGAAGCGAGAGTGCTATCCACTCAGCCACATGCCGCCTTTAATGAGCTTTAATACAATTCTTTTCATATTCTATATTTAATATGATTAAATGAGTTGTTATTATTGTGCTCATGAGCGGGTGGCACGGCGGCTGAGTGGATTGCACTCTCGCCTCTCAGCAAGAAGGTCCTGGGTTCGAATGGAGTTTGCATGTTCCTCTGTGTGTTCCGGTTTCTCCTACAACTAAAATATACTCAATACTGATAAAATCCTCCAGCTGACCAAGCCGAGCGTCAACATCTGGAGATGGGTTCCCGTGCGCTGTTACTACGGCGACCACTGCTCCTGACGTAAGCCTTAGCGGCATCAGGATGGGTCAAATGCACAGGACAAATTTCCCTACATGGACAATACAGTTGACATTTACATTAAAATGGATGAGTTATCATATGCTGTGTTCAATCTCTTAAAACCCCCACACACAACTACATAATGGTAACGGTTGTGGTGCACTTCATTTGGCATATCTGAGGTGGGATGGATTGTCCAAGCAAAGAGTAAGTGCTCACTGCAACAGCTTTAGCTAGATTTGTGAACAATACAGATAAAGATATTATTAATTTGCAGTTTTATATTTTCGGTAGGTGCTAAGTTAGCTGTTTGTATTGATTGTTCACACTTTCTGAGCCGAGCATGCCTAAATGTTGAAAAGTTAGAGGTATGGTTATTTATACAACCCATTGTACATGTTTGGCTAGACTAAACTGCGTCTTGCTCTGTCTCTCTCTAGATTGAAGAAGTTAAAGCTCTTCCTTCAGAGTCCGAGTGGTCTGAACTCAACCACAACAAGAACTCCATTTCCTACAATCCTGAGTTTCAAGACTCTTCCTTCACTACATTCATCTCAGCAACAGGTGAACATCTGCTTTATCTGACAATTTATACCTCATTGTTAAATATGTCAGAAGTTGTAAAAGAGACGCACTACCACCTGCGCTTTGATTCTTCTCCTTTACGCTACGTCATTGAACCCAGGCGATGCCTTCTAAAATGATTATTGCTCTTCTATTTTCTTGTGTGAGACCCATTTCACCTGCTCCACGGGAGAAACACGCACATTCACATTTCCACATCCTTCCAGAATTGAGGTTTTAAGCAGATCTTTTATCTGTGACTGTCCAATCCTAGTTCAGGATCGTGCACATGCGCTGTTGAGTCGAGAGAAAGGGAAAAGAAGGCAGTAGTGCTGAGTCAGCTCTTTTGATTCGGGGATCTTTTTGCATTTTTACATTTTAAATTTCGATTTCACATTTAAATCACATTTTGAGCTTATTTTCTAAATGACAAAAGAACATAGTAGTATTACACATGAATTCTATGATGAATAGAACAGTGACAATCTCAAATCTTGACCATTTATCATAACACGGTCCTGATGGTTCGGCTCAGTGATGCATAGGTTTTTCCTGTTACAAAGCCCTGGTTCACCATGGTGCCCACAATGAAACCAATTGCAGTATTCAATTCTGGATGTATAGTTCTGCGACAGTCATGTGAAAACAATCCTATAATCCAAATGCCATATTCCAGTTCACTCACTTCTGCTGAGATTATACACACACCTGCTCCAAACAGCAGAAACACAGCTCTCAAAGCAGCATTCAAACTGATGGCCCCAAGTCCGCTGTTGTGCGTAACCATGGTGATTCTCTGGCGCCCGACTCTCAACTCTCAATCTTATTCTCAATCGAGTCACTCCAAATCAAAGTTCTCCGCCTCTACACACTATGTAATATGTACAACCAATTGTAGACAAATATATAGTTTATTTAATATCTATCTTACATAAGTGCATAGACACAGAACACTTTCTGAAGAGGGAAACGCTTAAGAAGTGCATGTTTCACAAAAGTGTTATCATGAAAATGTAATCGTTGCTGTACATACTAGGCCCAAACCACTAGATATAAAAGAGGACATTTAATGACACTGAATTATATCAAGATGCATACAGACATAACAGAAAATATCATACCCCGAGGAGAGGTGGTTGGAGAGAGAACCCTGGAGGCTGCTACATGTTGCTCAGAGAGTTGACACCGACCAAGACCCCAAACTAGGCTGTGAGGTTACTCTCAGGTTCCACTGGATTGGTCAGGGGGGTCAGCCAGGAGCAAGTCAGCCCCCGTGGAGGGGGGACATGGACATCAGATAAGGGAGAAAATCCATACCAACAGTAAGTTTTCACCTACTGATAGCTTTTTAATATCACGTTTCAAATAGCCTAAAGCATGTGGTTATAACAACAAAATCTTTGCGGCTCTACACAAATCTGACTGAGTTTAATCCACTTTAATTTGAAGAATTAAAAAATGCAGATGGAGCATCGAATGTGTCCACCCTCTGTTCCTCAGGCTCATGCACAAGGCGTCCTACTCGCCGTGGTCGTCCTCCATCTAAGCCTGAGTCAGAGGCGGGTGCGGCTGCAAGTCTGAGCCCCCTGGAGCACCAGAGGAACATGGCTCTGCTGGAGTGGGAGGGCCGCATGAGGAGCTTGTCCCAGGAGCATGAGCTGTTAGCAGAGAAGAGGCGAGCCACCCGACAGAAGGAGCGAGCCTACAGACTCAAGAAGAAGTACTACCGAGCCAAGCTGAGGAGGCTGGGAGAGGACGTGGCCTCTTCTTCAGACAGCGAGCAAGACGAAGGGCACAAACTGGTCATCTCCAACACACATAGTGGCATTTTACATGATACAGACTGCAGAATGTAAATACAGCTTTTTATATTTGCACAAAAGTTTATGAAAAACATTCCTCATTAGGATTTTCCAAGTCACAGAATAGGACATTGATCTCAACCAAGAATGAACCCGTTATTCCTTAATCAAAAATTGCTCTATTGCTCTCCTGTCAATGTGGATTTAAACAAGAAAACTTTATTAACACTACAGCCACGTTATTTATATTACCTCTAATATTGTGGTTTGCAAGGAGATAATCCAATCAGTGATCAGAATGACTGCTCACTGTATACTGTAACGCCAAGGCTCATGGAGGAATGTGTGGCAGAGTCTTCAACAAGAGTCTACTGGATGTGTCAATGCCCGCTGGCAAACCTCTTCCTTGTACCTGTCGTGAAGGTAGTGAGGCCGGCAGGATGCAAGGACTACAGACCAGTGGCACTAACATCTGTCATAATGAAGACTTTTGAGAGGCTAGAACTCTTACTGCTCATGCCACAGGTGGAGCAGGCTCTCGACCCCCTGCAGTTTGCCATCAGGAGAGCATGGGCGTTGTCCTCTACATGCTCCATCGGTCAGTGTCCTTCCCAGATGGCTCGGACCAATGGATGTGATGAAGTATTACGATGATACCGCTGTGTGCCATGTGTGAAGGAGGAAATGATGCAGAGTACGGGGACGTGGTGGCTGCTTTCTCAGACTGGAGTGAGTTGCCAGATCTGCTTTCTCAGATCTGGTTCACAGGATCCCTTCCCATCAACTGGTCACACTAAATGGTCAGAACCTTCAAGTGGTACAGTCCTTTCCACGGGTCCGACTCAACTCTCCCCTCTCTGGTTTGCGAGCGTTTCCACCGTCACGCTTTGGCCGCTACCCGGTACTTTTTTAGTAACTGTTCTGCCCTGGTTCTAGCCGGGCCGAGTAGATACCAACCCAATCTGACGTCGCCAAACATCAATTCTGATTGGTGAGAGGCACTGTCAATCACTCTTCAGCTGGTACGTCAGGTGTTTGCCTCAACCCATAAAGACGTCCGAATGGAAAACAATTCCTTGGTCGCTGGATGAGGGCAACACCTTCCTCAGTTTGAGGAGAGGGCATCAGCCTGAGCTCGATGGTGCCAGGGTGTGGGTTGACTTTGTGTGGCTGTAGCCCAGCACCCTCTGCTGGTTTTACTGCAAATGGCAAATAAATGAATCTGATCTGCAGGTGTCCTGGACCAATCAGCTGATGACACTGAGTGACACTTTGAGCTCGTTCTAATCTTCTGAGAATTTGAATTTGGATTTTTGCTTTTTCGAGTTGAGAGACATCAATCACAATCCAAACTAAAACAAGGCTTGACATATGTCACTGTGCATGGCGGAGTCCATGACACAGTGACATATGTCACACATGTCCATATTAGTAACACATGGGCAGGAAAAATCAGTACCCTTGTAGACTTACGTTTGACCAAAATAAATGCAGGTTTAAATTCAATGTTGTATTAGATTCAAGTTCAAGCAAACCATAAACATTCTAACATGATGGCTGAACACCAGCGTTCCCTTCATAACGATATTCACCAACTGACACATCTTCAAAACCAGGGGGAAGACGAGGGCAGTGAAACTATTTGGGAGAGAACTGTGGAGGTAAGTGTTGCAAAAGTATTTTTTATTGTTTATTATTATTTTAAGTCTCTATAGCGTACTATTGGTTAGATAGTATTATAACTTGCATGAATGAATCAAAAACATTTTCTTTGTGTGCGCTCCGTGTGGTGATGTCCCTCTTTCTAAAAGGTTTTTTGTTGAGAAGCACTGATACTGTAGAAAAGCACTCTATTCTGGAATCCAAGGATTTATTTCACTGTGTTTTTCCTGCTCTTGTAATTAAATAAATTTTATTTTAATTCTTGGTATAAACATGGTTTTAAATTAGATAGAAATGATAGTTTCAATGTTCATTTGATATAAAATGTTATTGATACTGTTTTGCTGATAAAATGTAAATAAAAAGTAATAGTTTAATGCTGTTTGTAATGCAGTTTATTCAGTGGTTCAAAAACTTAACACAGTGCAGAGTTTAGTCGACACAGCCTTGATCTGTCAGTGGGGGCTTCAGGAAGAGTGGGGTTAAGTGTCTTGCCCAGGGACACAACGACAGCAGACGTCTGTGGGAATTGGTGAAGTGTGTCTTTGGGGAGTGAACCCACAACCATTAAAATGAACACAAGATTGGTGTTGACCGCTCTTTTGCATCCGTTCAGTAGCATTTGTTCAGTCTCACACCCAGCAGGACAAGGTGTAACCAAACAGAAATACCCAACAACTGGCTCTTAAGCTGTGTAAAGAAATGCTTAAAACTGCTCCTTAAATATCACGGACAATACTTTTCTCTATGTTTAACAATTGTCGCAACTAGGCCCACAAAGCCTTTGATGATCTGAGGTGCTCCAAAAACTTCAGTTTGAGTCATAAACTTAAATTGTTCTTACATATTTACTGCACACGTCCATTTTGCTATTGATCGTCCCTGGTCATATTCTTCCCTTCATAGTGAGCCATGCTGTTTTATTTTATATTGTTTGTGCAGTAATTACATTTACTGTTTGTCTGTCACACTGTACTGTAATATTACTGAAATATAACATTAAAGTGGCATAAATGGAAAAGACAGATTCGTTTCGCTGGATTTGGAAAAAGCAGGTGTGCTGTATTTGGGAGATTTATTTTGTTCTGACAAAATGTGGCTTTAAATAAATGTTCACTTGCAAGAGTTTTTGCTTTGAAGCCTTTCTTATTCAGTCCTACCTGTTCAGCTTCTCTGCTACACTATCCAAACAAAACTGAACATGGGGGTAACACGAAATTGTGGGCCTTGTGTAGAAATCATCTTTACAGGCAAATGGTTCTCTTAAAAATAGTGACACAATTAACACTATCATTGCATTAGTAAATAGATTCTATCGTTTTTAATCAATACTTCGATGTGACAATGCTGTGAAGACTGATCACAGTCAGAACAGGAGTGGTCAAGATTATTTTCTTCACTATTGGTATGATGAGAGAGGCTTTTAAAACTGAAGAAAGATAATACTTGGCTTTAGTTCAAATGTGGTGTTGTATGGACTTAAGGTTCTTCTTCCCATTCCATATCGAACTATTGATCATTTGTAAATAACGTTATAAATACATTGTGTGAAAATATATATACAAAGTGACTTCTCTTAGATATTGCTTATGTATGTTTTTTATACATAACGTGACATCATTCGCATGTTATCAACTGTGATGCTTTCACTGGTATACGTTAATATAATAGATCCATGGTATACGCCGAATTAAAGCTATTCAAGTATTTATTACAAGATTGAGTTTGGTAACTTAATAACTTAAATGATGTGTGACTTAACCCCTTTAATCCCAAACAGTATGAGTTCTAATGAGATGTTATACAATCTGCAGTGGCCACACATACTCCACACTATAGATGTTGATACGGTTGTAAATCTGGTTGTGAAGTAGTTGGTGCCTCACTGACCATGAACGCCACTGCTTCCTACTGTATGTGTGTATGGTTAAAGTTATGTCCATACACAAACAGGTTTTGTGGGAGTGGAAATGAATGAGTACAACAGAAGCTTCACACCTCTTCAGGACTTCAGATGATCTTCTGCAGCTCCATGAACCGTAAGTATCAGCCTCTCCATCCTTTGCTCATGTAAACTTTATAGGTTTTCCCTTTCGAACCACTAGACAAATACTGCAAACACAGATGCCCTTCTCCAAGTGTAACAGCCTTACAATTTCAACAAACCACACTCGGTAGTAAATGTGAGGGGCCTTCACCAGCGTTCACAAGACCAGTATGAGACTTTTTATTACAGTGCCTTGCGAAAGTATTCGGCCCCCTTGAACCTTTCAACATTTCGCCACATTTCAGGCTTCAAACATAAAGATATAAAAAATATTTTTTTTGTCAAGAATTAACAATAAGTGGGACACAATCGTGAAGTGGAACGAAATTTATATATTTATAATTTAAAGTTTTTTAACAAATAAAAAACTGAAAAGTGGGTTGTGCAATATTATTCGGCCCCCTTGCGCTAATAATTTGTAGCGCCACCTTTTGCTGCAATTACAGCTGCAAGTCGCTTGGGGTATGTCTCTATCAGTTTTGCACATCGAGAGACTGGAATTCTTGCCCATTCTTCCTTGCAAAACAGCTCGAGCTCAGTGAGGTTGGATGGAGAGCGTTTGTGAACAGCAGTCTTCAGCTCTTTCCACAGATTCTCGATTAGATTCAGGTCTGGACTTTGACTTGGCCATTCTGACACTTGGATACGTCTATTTGTGAACCATTCCATTGTATATTTGGCTTTATGTTTTGGAACATTGTCCTGTTGGAAGATAAATCTCCGTCCCAGTCTCAGGTCTTTTGCAGACTCCAACAGGTTTTCTTCCAGAATGGTCCTGTATTTGGCTCCATCCATCTTCCCATCAATTTTAACCATCTTCCCTGTCCCTGCTGAAGAAAAGCAGGCCCAAACCATGATGCTGCCACCACCATGTTTGACAGTGGGGATGGTGTGTTCAGGGTGATGAGCTGTGTTGCTTTTACGCCAAACATATCATTTTGCATTGTGGCCAAAAAGTTCGATTTTGGTTTCATCTGACCAGAGCACCTTCTTCCACATGTTTGGTGTGTCTCCCAGGTGGCTTGTGGCAAATTTTAAACGAGACTTTTTATGGATATCTTTGAGAAATGGCTTTCTTCTTGCCACTCTTCCATAAAGGCCAGATTTGTGCAGTGCACGACTGATTGTTGTCCTATGGACAGACTCTCCCACCTCAGCTGTAGTTATCTGCAGTTCGTCCAGAGTGATCATGGGCCTCTTGGCTGCATCTCTGATCAGTCGTCTCCTTGTTTGAGATGAAAGTTTGGAGGGACGTCCGGGTCTTGGTAGATTTGCAGTGGTCTGATACTCCTTCCATTTCAATATAATTGCTTGCACAGTGCTCCTTGAGATGTTTAAAGCTTGG